GCAGGGTGCGGCTCTTTCGGCTCGTCCTCGGCCTCGACAACGACTGCTGATCGCGCGCACATACATACACAGAAAGAGAGACAGAGAGATGACAATGAGGCAGATGTCTGCACGCCCCATGTGTCTATTGTCTGCCTGTGCCTGTCCAACTGACATACCTTCGACAACCTCAGAACTAATCACTGGCTGTGCTAGTGGCGGCTGCTGCAGCGTGACCCTCTCGTCCCCCTCGTGTCCCTCCAACTGGTCTCCCCCCTGGCTCTGCTGCTGCTGGAGGTGCTCGTGGCCCTCGCTCTCCTCGGCATGCTGGCCATATCCTCCTCGTCACGCTCCTCCTCAGCCGCCTCACGGCCCTCTGCAGCAGCGCCGGCGTGGAGCTCCTCGTCCATGGCCTTCTGCACCTCGCTTAGGAGGTCGAGGTCGCGGCTGAGAGCGCCCTTGATGTCCGCCACGGTGCCGCGCTGCTGCTGTTTGGTGACGAGACCTTTGGCTGCGATGCCGGCGATGATGTCGACCCAGTCGTCCACCCACGGGAGGCCCTCCCCCTCCCCCAGGCCGTCGAGCGGGCACACCGGCTGGCCGTCAGGCGTGTCGGGCTCCCCAGCGACGAGAGGGCGGCCGTCGTCGTCCACGACGAGCTCCCAAAACTTGTCCCACTGCATGACCATCAGCAGCTCCTGGTCCTGCAGTGGGACGGTGGAGTCGTCGATGCCGAAGAACTCCATCACGCCCTCCATCATCGAACGGCCCGCCCTCAGCAGCAGCTCTATCATCATGCACAAACTCCAAACCACTGCAGGCTCGCCAACCCACAGCCCCTCCCTCACTAACGCCCCCGCCAATTGCAGCTCACACGACAGGTCTTCTATGGCCTCCTTGATTGGCTCACTGACGGCGTCAGGGGTGGCGGCGGACGGCTTGGTGCCGCCGTTGAGGAGCATGTGCTCCGGCGAGCACAGCCACCTGGTGCCGGTGGGGATCTGCCGCAGCCTCTTGAGATCGTCCTTCGTCATGGGCACACGGGCGCCACGGCGGCCGATGAGCGGTGGTGGGGTGGGGGGGGACGCCGTGTCGGTGGGTGGTGTGCAGACGCTGTTGGCCAGGTCTATCATGCGCACGCCCTGGCATGCCTCGGGGAGGGGAACTGAGGGATCCGGGCACAGCCACGACCTCTCCAACATGACGTTGTTGGCAAAGGCGTCCACGCACACCACCCCCTCCTCCAGCGCGTAGTCGTGCGCTGTGGCCATCTGCGCGACCGCCTTGGTCACCACAGTCAAGTCGCCGAGCAGCTGCCTGGCGTCCTTGGTGCGGCGGTATCGGGCGGTGATGCTGCTGAGGTGGTAGCTGCCCTCCCGCTCGCTGACACTGGACCACTTGAGGCGGCACAGGCGACTGAACTACCCACTCCGGCTCTGGTGCAACACACAGACACAGACAGACACGACAAACGTTATAGGTGTGGGTGGATGGATGGATTGATCTCTCTCTCTCTCTCTCTGTGTGTGTGTGTGTGTGTGTGTGTGTCTGTACCCTTCAAGGTGGGCATTACTAAGCAGGTCCTCGTCTCCCGCGTCGTGCCCCGCACGAAGGTGCCTTTGCCCGCTACGTGGAGCGGCAGGAAGGGCGGGCGCCCTCCCAGCATCCGCATTCTCTCCTTCTCGGCGGCAACCTCCGTGCGCCGGATGCCCTGCCTCTCGCTGCCCTCCCCCTCACAAACCAGCTTGTATGCGGCATCACCGCTGCTGATCCTGCTGCTGCTGCTGCTGGCGTGGGTGCCAAGTGGTCGGAGTGAGGGTGGCAGGGGGGCTCTCATGACGGTGGCTGTGGCGCCACTGCCGACGCACGCGTCGTCCTGGAAAACTACGCGGCGCTGGCCATTAGGCACAACGCCCTTATCAAAGAAGAAGGCGGAAACCATCGCTGCTGGCTTATCTCGCTGCCTGCAGGCTCCTCGTCTCGAGAAACCTCTAATATTGGTATTCTGCATCGCCACCGAAAGTTTGCCTTAGAGCAACGTCTTTCCGTAAAACGTCTTCCCGTGAAACGTCGTCGGTTGGTGCGATTGGGTTGGTGGCGCCGGAAGGTGGCGCCGCGTGGCGCCCGGGATGATGGCAGCAGCAACAGCAACAGCAACAGCAGCAGCGGCAACATCCCTTCACGTACATCTTCGTTGGGCGTCGGGCGTTCTATCTGCTCAGCCTCACAGACACACTCCAGCTGAGGGCCACCTGCACGTGGCTCAGTGAGCTGTTCGGAGCGGCCCAGCTGAGAGACCGCCTCGCCACTCTGTCGGCTCACAGGCGGGGCTGCGGCGGGTGGTCAACGGGCAGCAAGTGCAGCTGGTGCGGTTCGACGATGACCAGTTCGGCGTGTGTGATCTGCTGGCGGCTGTGTGTGTGATGGAGGAGGGAGAATGGGTGGAGATCGGCGAGGTGATTGAGCTGGCGGGGCAGTGCGGCAAATGTGAGCTGCCTGTCATCCTCACATCCGATGACATCAACACACACACACACAAAACGGTGAGCCAGCAAACAGAGGGGCGGGGAGGGGAGGGAGAGGGCCTCATTTCGTGTCTGTGTGTGGTGTGTGTGGTCCTGTGTGTAGGCGTATGTGTCGGCTCCCCGAGTGTTGTCGCAGCTCAAGATGGTCGGCTGCCACATCCACTTCAGTGACGACAGGTGCCTCCAGCTCTTCCAACACGGCGACAATCAGGTGCGGGCCATCGTCGACCAGCCCGGCTTCGAGCTGGAGGTCGACCCGCGCCTCCCTGCCGGCCACCTGTACCAGCAGCACCGACAGCCACACGACCCCCCTGTGTGTGAGGGCATCCACTACTCCACCGCCGGCGAATGGCGGCCGAACGATATCCTGGACACCGATGCGTCGCTGTCGTCGTTTGCCAAGCGTGTGATCCTTGACCACTTCGTCGGAACTCACCAGACCTATGCCACATCGAATCACCTCAACAGGTAACACACCGATGGCACCAGTGGCGAGAGGGGTGCGTGTTTGATTTTGTGTGTGTGTGTGTGTGTGTGTGTGTTCTTGTTGTTGGTTCAGGCATGTTGGTGGCGGCCGTCTGGATAGCCTCTTCACCCAGTCGCCCCACACACCGGTGGCCGGGTGCTCCACCACACTCAGCCGGGACGGTAATGCGCGGGAGCTGGTGCTCACCGACGGCAGCCACAGCTTCGTCGCATGGATTTCCATTTTCGATGCGGACGACATCGGTCAGGCTGACAGACAGGCAGCTCCGCTGGTCAAATCCCATGTGATTTCTGTCTGATTGTCTGCAGTGCACATGAGTGTCCAGACGACCGAGTCGCCTGTTTGTGTGAGCGGTGCCTTCAAGGACGGCCTCCCCATGACAACTCAACTGGGCAGTGTGGCGCTGGGCAGGGAGTCTGACGTCTTCGACTTCTCAGTAGTGCAACGCAAGCCATCAGAGGGGGAGGGGGATGGTAGGGACAGAGGCAGGGAGGCACATTGGTGGATGGATGAGTATATGATGGGCCTTGTCCTTGTGTGGTGCAGACGGTTGGGGAGGAGAGCTCAAGGAGGGTGGAGGAACGGTGGCCGGCGAGGGGCAGGACGGGGCGCAGGACGGCGATGGGGAGCAGGAAGCGCGAAGGGTGGCGCGAAGGGTGGCACGCTCCCGCGGCATGAGGGGCCGACGGCTATCTTTGCAGGAGTTCCTCCGGAGTGGATCCAGCCGGGAATCCGACAAGGGCAGAAAGCCAGGCGGCAAAGGGCAGTGACAGACAGAACAGGCAGACAGACACGAACACAGATACAGACGAAGAGACACATCGAGAGAAGAAAGACACAACGGCAATACAGACAGACAGATAGACAGACTGTGAATAGGTACCACCACGACTGTACGTGTGGTGGGTGACTGAGTGGGTGGGGAAGTGGGGACTCGTGTGCATACGTACATATGGACAGACACATGACAAGAAAGACACAACGAGAGGGAGAGGAAGGCACCGGTGGCATGTCTGACCGCTGTTTGCTGATGACATACCGTGAAACCCCAACACACGCACGCACGCACGTGGTGAAGGGGCGGCAAACAGCCAGGCAGCTACGGGTGCCCCCTCCCTCTCTGTGGTTCTGGTGACGGATCCGCGTGTTCTGAACGAACGGATGGTGCCGTGCTGATCACATGATAATGCACACGCACACGTTCATTTCTGTCGCGATCTGATCTACTGCAAGCAATGGTTCAGTATCATGGCAGCTTTGCCATTGCACTCGATTGCTTGGTTTCAATGGGTGAGTGTCCGTATATCCGTTAGCTCAAACACCAACCGTCATGAACACAAGACCACACAGAGAAAAGACTCTCGTTAAGAAACACTCACTCGGTCGCCTCTTCTCCCCAGCCATTCCTATGTGCCCTGCCTCTGTCTGGCAGCATGGCGGCCAGCGTCCTGTACTCCCACGTGCCAGGCGCCACACCCGTGTCCGTCCCTGTCGGGTCCCACACCTCATAACCATCCACGTGCACCCAAAACGAAAACGAATTCCCAGGCACGAACCGACTCTTGGCGTCGAAGGGGTCGACCACACAGTCGCGGAGCCTCCCCAAGTCGGTCTCGCGAAGTGTGACCTGCGGCACATAGGCCTGCATGGCGGCGGCGAGGTCCTCCAGGCCGATGTCGATGAAGCGGCCGGCGACGAAAAGCATGGTCTCCTTAACCAGCGAGTCATCTACCGCCGTGCTGTCGCCAGCGTGGCCACCGGGGTGCCTCCTCTGGTTGAGAACATAGTTGAATTGCCGCTGGGTGAGTGCAGGGGGGTAGGTCATCCTGACGCGATAGGAGCAGCGGCGCCTCATTCGGACGGAGTCCTCCTCCAGCACGGCCAGCCGGGTCACCTCGAACTCCTCGTTCTCAACTAAGGTCTCGTTGGCGCCCGCCGGCCAGTCATGCCGAGTCTTCTGCACGTCAACAAGCGGCAGCTCCTCGAGCTTCTCATCGATCATTTTCTGCTGCATCCGTGTGCGGTTCACCTCCCGCTCCATCTCCCTTTGTGCCGCTTCGAAAGCCTCCACCTCTTTGCGCGCCTCCTCCCTCTTCAGCTCAGCCACCTGTGCGTTGTCCAGGTCAAGTGTGAGCGGCACATCCGCGTCCAGATCGACAACCGTCCTGCGCGCCAGCTCTTCCTTCGAGTCTTCAGATGGCGGGGGAGGGGCGGGTGTGTCGGCAGGCGACTGACGCACGACGGACTCCCTCACCAGCGATGTCGCATTGGAACTTGGAGGGAGCTGCAGGACGGGTAGGGGATAGACGTCAGCTGGAGATGATGACAGCCGCGATGCAGAGCGCCTCTGGAAGCCGCGCAAGGTGACCTTGGGCATAGCAAGAAAGCCATTCATCCTTCCTTGTGGCCTCGCAGAGAGCGAAGCACCAACGCACAACTCCGAGAGAAAAGAAGCCAATCCGAGGACGGATAGAAGCTGTCCCCGACAGCTCCACGAGGACCGCTGATCTGCCTTCATCCTCACCGACAAAGCTGCAAGGTCCACGCACCGTCGGCAAAGATGCTCGCGGACGCACTGTTGGCAAAGATGCTCGCTGATAGGATGAAGGCAAGGTGGCGAAGAAGCTTATGGATGAGTCAAATGCTCAGGACCGTGGGATCGCTGTGCTATTGGAGAAGAAGGGTTTAGGGTTTAGGGTTAATGGTTTATTCATTGGGGAGAAAAATGGTGGGACAGAGGATGCCATGTCACGCTGGATGCTTCCCTGGGTGATACTCTGCAGCTGTGACATCAACTTCTGTCATCCGCGATGCAGCTAAACCGGAAAGTGTCGAACCAGCAGGTGCTCCAGGGCAACGAGAGCAGCCCTGACAGCCGGTGCGACCTCCACACTCCCGCAGAGGCGCTCAGACGCCTCAAATCCCACCGATGCCTCAGCTCAAACATCACCATCACCGCCCGCTCGCCGCTCCTCAGTGCCTTTGCATCGCTTCCCCCTCTGCCGCCACCTGGCAGCGCCATGCATGCAGATGCCGGCGACCGTCATGCGATGAATGGGCGTGCGTACGAGAGCAGCACCATGAGTGACCTGCATAGAGCGGTGTATCGGTGCGAGTATGTGCCGCCGAAGGATGTCGAGATGCGGGACGGGAAGGGGCGGGAGGTGGTGCATAAGTGGGAGATGGCGTTTCGGAGCGTGACGTGCAGTCTGCTCACAGGTGCCTGCCAGCAGGTGAGGGACGGAATACTTACAAGGCACAGTCGCCATCGCATTTATTTGACGTTTGGTCGCGTTGTTTGGTTGTCTGTCCAGGCGTGTATCGTATCTGCCTATGACGACTTTTCCATCATCGTCAATGCGAATCCTTTCGAGGCCATCATCACCAAAAGCGACAGCACCCTCAGGTACACACATCCGTCATGCCGACCACAAGCTGCGTGACCGGCGAGGCAGCACCTCTCTCTCTCTCTCTCTCTGTGTGTGTGTGTGTGTGTGTGTGTGCAGGAAGAAGCTCGACGAGTATGGCGTTAAGTACACGACCATCTCCCCGATCGCTCTCCCGGGCACCCCGCAGTCCATCAGCCGTGCTGCCACTGACCCCTCCCAGATAAAGGCCGAACGCCAGGCACGCAAAGGCCGGCCGCCGTCGGTGCTCTTCATCACTGGCCGATACAACGTCAGCTCGCTGCTCAGCTTCTGGCGCCATCACGTCATGGAGCGGGCCTGCTCACGGGGCTCGGCGGGCGACCGGCAGCAGTACGCCAGCGAGATGGGGCAAGGGGTGGGGTTGGGGGCGAGCAATGGCAAGGCGGCAGGGGGCAACGTGGAGTACCTGTCGCGGATTGTGTGCGATCGGCCGTTTGTGGGAGGTGAGCTGCAGCCTCTGCGTGTGGCTGCCCTCACTGCCGAGCAGACCAAGACGCCCGTCCCTCTCAGCGAGGCGCCGACTCAGCCGCTCAAGAAACTCAAGAACGAGGATGGTGCGGCCATCAACATCCACGATGCAGACGGGGACAAGACACCCAACCCCCTCACGGCCGAGGAAGACAACCAGGAGGTCTACAAGCTGCGTCTGGAGGGCCTGTGTCTGCCCTGCCAGGTCCACCGCATAGCCGACAGCCTCAGACGCGCGCTGCCCGCACCGGCCGGCGGCTTCTCGCTCGACCTCGGCCCAGAGGAATCGTGCTATGCCCCTGACCTGGGGTCAGGCAAGGCGCAGAAGGACCTCAGCAGGGTGCTCAGAGGGGAGGGCAAGAACGGCGTGGGGCGGGGGGAGATGATGCCGGCCATCGGCAGCGGCGAGGAGATGCCCATGGTTGAGGCCGACGGGCGGAGGGAAGAGGAGGAGAAGGTGGCAGTGTTGCGCCAGTGTTGCCGTGTGGGGTCCGTCGTGGTGGAGGGGGACGAGTGGGTGATTAGATGTCGCTTTGGTGCATGACGATAGATGGATGGATAGATGGAATGGCTGACTGTCGTATACCTGTACAGGGACCATCGTGATCGGTTGGCCATGCGTGCTGCGTGATTCTCGCTCGGTTCATGGATTAATGTTGAATGAAAATTGGAGAGCACGGCTGATCAGAGGACTGTCATTGTTGTGGGTGGTGGCATTTGACACCCTCTCTTGCGTTTGACAGACCTGCTGACAGACAAAGCTGGAGAACCGACTCACCGCTGTAACAGCAGTCGATATTCCAGCAATGTCAGCAAATCCATCCATCCATCCATCCATGGGCAGCCAGTTTGTCCCTACACCCGCAGGCAATTCCAAAGCCTACATCACACAGCAACAACAAATACTCACTCGCCCGCTCATCAATCAATCACTTGCCGACACTCGCACACACACGTCCGGACGGACGGACGGAAGCATAGGCAGGCGGACAGACACTCAGACCGACAAACGCCTTCCTGCAACACCACCCACACCAAAAAGGCCACCCACGTAGACACACACAATGCACACGCAATGCTATCTATACATCACGTTCGCTGCCCCCTCCCTCCCCTCTCATATGTCATTTCTTGGGTTTCGAGTCCGCTGGGAATGGGAAAGCGGCCGACGGCTCGTATCTGCTCATGTCGTATTTGTCGGCGTGTGTCTCGAGGTGCTTGTGCAGGTGGGCCTGCTGCTCCCTCAGCCGCCAGTCTGGCGTGTCGTACACGTCCTGGGGGAGTGAATCGATCCACACCACAGAGACACATAGAATAGACACACATAACACGCGGCAGTGAGTGGTCATCTGTGGGTGCGGTGCAGCTGGCCCACCTCGAAGAGTCCCTCGTCGATTGGACAGTACTTCTCTTTGTCTCCTTCCCTGTCCGCACACACAAATGAATGAATAGGGGTCGGGTACGTGCCGCCCGCCCAGCAGTGTTGGTCGCTATGCTATACCTGATTGCCTGTATGGCTTGCTTCTTGGTCTCCTGCGCCAACTTCATGTCCTGCTCCTGGCTCCACACACCCTTTATGCACCCACAAACAACAGGAAGATAGATCGATGCACGGGCTCAGAGGGCTTTGTTTTGTCGTGGGTGTTTCGTCGCGCCGTGTAGTGCACTGCACTGACCTGGTTGATGAGGAACCGTTTGAACCTCCCGACCCCGCTCATGCCCTCCTCCTGCCAGGCCTTGGCCTCCTCGTCCTGACGGTACCTGCTCGCGTCGTCGCTCGTACTGTGGTGACCTACCCTGGATGAAAGAGTGAAGGCACCCAACCACCCACCACAACAAGACAGCATGGCATAAGGGAGCGTCTCTCCGCGCTGTGTTTCTGCCTGTCTGTTACCTGTAGGTCATGAGCTCGACGACGCACGGCGCCTCCTCCTCCAGACACAGCCGACGGGCCTCCTTGGTGGCGTTGTATGACGCAACTGAATCGACCACAACCACAACAGGCACAGCACAGCCCGCACTATGACATACATGTGGAGAGAGAGGGCAGGGCCACCCACCTACCGATGTCGTTGCCGTCGACTCGGATGGTGTTGATGCCGTAAGCGATGCCCCGCACGGCGATGCCGTCACCGATGTACTGCTCCGACACGGGGGTGCTGATGGCAAACCCATTGTTGCGGCAGATGAAGAGCGTCTGGCTCTTGAGCGTCGCCGCGAAGTTTATGGCCGGGATGAAATCGCCTGCACACACACAGACAGCCACAATAGATAACCGTCATACATCGTGTGTGCGTGTGTGTCTCGTGGCTGCCCGCGTACGTACCTTCTGACGCCGCTCCCTCGCCAAAGTATGTGACGGCGCAGTTCTTTTGTCTCCTCATACGAAAGGCATAGCCGCAGCCGGTGGCGTGTGGGATCTGGGTGGCCAGGGGCGACGATATCGTCTGGATATTGAGCTTCTTGCCTGCCGGGGGGGATACACAGACAGACACACGATGCACGCGTGTGCCACACGCGTCATGGGCTTGTGTGTTTCCTTCCTTGTTAGTTAGTTCGTTACTTGTGTAGTGGACGGGCATCTGTCTGCCTTTGCCCGGGTCGCCCTTGAGACCTGACGTGTGTGCAGCACAAGGATAGCCACCCATCCGCATAACGTGACATACTGTCTGGGCTTGCCTCCTTTCTGTGTCAGTCAGTACTGTCTGACGTACTGAAGCACTGGTCAACGATGTCCTGCAGCGTGAAGCCGCGCCACATCAAGACACCCAACTCGCGATACCTGCAAGCACAGAGGGAGGGAGGGAGGGAGGGAGACTCCTTGCTTTGCGAGCTCGTGCCTCCTCTTACTGCGGGAAGATGACGTCGCCCAGGTCCAGGGCTGCCGACGAGCCCACCTGGGCTGCCTCCTCGCCTGAGTTGGTCATGTAGAACGATATACGACCCTGCATGCCATGCGACACACACACACACACACAGGGTGTCACCTGGAGGGCATGGCGTGTGGATGGACGAATGGGTGGTGGACAGGACAGTAAGCCACCTAGTTCACTCACCTGCCTGCCTACCCTACCTACCTGTCTTTGTATGTCGTACATGATCTGGTCGTACACGGTCAGCTTGAGCATGGTCTGGTACATGGCCACCCCCTCCTCCAGCGGGAACGGCAGCTCGATGCCATCCACCAATGTGCCATCGTACTCAAGCTGACGCAAGATCGGGATGCCCTCGTACGTCTGACGATCACACAAGCACACACAAGCACACAAACGAAGCCACAGATGAAAGCAAACCGCACGCGATAGCCGCCTGCCGTCGGTCCCTCAAGTGTTTTGTTTGCTGACCTTCTTGAATTCCGGTCTGTGCACGTATTGCTTCGCCAGGACGCCCGCGAAGGGCATCTCGATCTCCTCGGCGGTCAGCTTCCTCCTCGAGCCAAACCGACGCACCCACGCCGTCACACCTCCAGGCGGCAATGAATGCGAGCAGAGAAAACGGGACGATTGTAGCATGGGGGCTGTAGCACACGCACTGCAGGTGCGCAAGGATGTCATGAACGCCATGGGAAAGAGCGGGATCGATTTGCCAAAATGGCTAAGCTCGCGCGTGGAGCTCGCATCTGGAAGTGGCGAAACTGCGAGGTTTTCCTAGGGAAGATCTGTCACTCCGAGAAGTGTTTGCTGCATTACTGTAGCTTTCAGACTTCGTTTCTCTCGTCCATCTTTCGCCCGACCCCCTGTCTGCCTTGATTGACCAGCCATGTGTTGCCCGGCGAGGAGGTGCCTAAGCTAGTCCCACCTTTGTGATTTTCACGCCACGAGCGGACACGACAAGCAGCGAGCGCTGACAAGCACACCCCTGACAAGAACGAGGCGAGATGGCGGCGACCAAGCCCAAGGGTGAGGAGAGGAGGGAGGGTGCGAGGGGCGGTGGTGGCGGCGGTCGGATGCGCAAGGACATGCCGGCCCGTCCGGACGACCAGGAGTACAAGGACAAGATTGAGATCGAGCAGAAGGCCATCGACGAACTCCAGAGCGAAATGGTCAGCGAGGAGCAAAACGAGTCACACACGGGGGAGGACTGACGGCCTTCTGGACTCTGTGTTGTGTGTGTGTGTGCAGCGCAAAGTGCAGGGGCTGATATCGGAGCGTTCGGCGGGCAAGGAGGACTTCCAGCGCAAGCGCGAGGAGATGCGCTCCAGACTCGACGACCTCCAGGCGCACATCGACAAACTCGAGCAGGAGCGCAAGAGCACACTCGACCAGATCTCCCAGAAACAAGAGGACTCCAAGAAGATGGTATGGTGCACACCTGAGTGGGGTGGGGTGGGCACAGGAGGACGGTGACGGGATGCTGGGTTGTCTGTCTTGTGTGGTCCGTGTGGTGTGTGCAGCGTAGCCAGGTCCAGGACATGAAGCGCAAGGTCGGCTACAAGAACGAAGAGGAGATCGACAACCGAATCGCGTTAGTAGGACACGACACACACAGACACACACAGCACAGCACCACACAAAACGCCACGCCACATAAACGAGACAAGGCAATCGTGCCACACGGCTGTGCTGTGCTGTGCTGTGTGCCCTGTTGTCTGTCTGTCTGTCTGTCTGCCTGTCTGTCTGTGTGTGTGTCAGCGAGATCGAGTACCAGATGCACACGTCCACCATGTCGCTCAAGGAGGAGAAGAAGTTCATGGAGGAGATCAAGAAACTCAAGAAGGACAAGCCGCAGCTCGCGTATGCACCGCAGCCCACATGACAGACACCACACACCAACACACCAACACACCCCTCCCGCCCTGTGTGGTGTGTGCAATGCATTGGTGTGTGTGGGGACTGCAGCAAGTACAATCGCATGGAGAGCACGTTCGACAGCAGCGACGACCAGGCGCCCCTCCGCGACCGACTGTTCAAGATCAGTACCGACCTCAACGCCGCCAGGGAGGCCAGACGCGGGCAGAACGAACACTTCAAGAAACTCATCAACGACCGGTATGCATGGAGGGAAGTGGCACATGCGCTCATTTCTCTCTCTCTCTGTGGCGTGGCGTGGCATGGCGTGGTGTCATTGTGCACGGATTGATGTGTCACGTCAGCCGTGACCAGGTAGCCAATTTGAAGGAGTTCTTCGACAAGCGCACCGAGCTCAACAACAAGATACAGGAACACATCGCAAACGTACCTCAGTCAGATATCTGAGATGCGCAACCACACCTCACACAAGGTGGCACCATGCCTCCCTCCCCTGTGTGTGTGTGCAGAAGAACCGCATCCGCGACGAGATGCACGCCAAGATGCGGGAGTTCCAAGCCCAGCAGGCCGAGATGCGTCAGGCCCGTGCCGAGAAGGCCCGCATCGAGAAGAAGAAGCGTCAGGAGGAGCAGGAGCGGATGCGTTTGGAGCGCGAGCTCGAGAAGGAGGACGAGTTGCCCCTGGGCGCCGAGGTGCTCAAGGTCGAGCAGACCATGACCTACCTCAAGAAACTCATGGAGCAGGACAAGAAGCACGAGGCGGCCGACGAGGGCGAGCACGAGGCCAAGGAGGAGACACTCCCCGAGGGCGTCACCCAGGTGCTCAAGTCCAAGAAGGACCGGTCAGTGGAGTGGGCGACCCAGAATTGACACACACGACACGCGGAGCGGACGGATGGAGAAAGGTGTGCGTGTGTGTGTGTGTGTGTGTGTGTGCAGCGACGACGAGTGGGCCTTTGCGCCGACCAAGGCCAAGGGGAAGAAGAAGGGTCCCGGCGGCAAGGACGAGAAGAAGAAGGGCATCAAGCACGACATCGGCACCCTCTCCATGTTCGAGGAACTCGGGGTGCGTCAGCCAACAGACAGACAACAGACACCACACCACACCACACACGGGCCCACGACACATCCTTCTCTGTCTGTGTGTATATTGGCTTTCTCTGGTGCAGTTGAAGGTCCCCATGTCGGTTGAGGAGGCCCCCGCCCTCCTCGTGGAGCTCGAGAAGAAACTCGACGAGTACAAGAAGGAACAGGTGGGTAGGTGGGTCGAGTCGACATATCCTCCACACTCAGGCCATTCATCCTGGGTGGCTGTCTGTTCAGGAGGGCATGATTGAGGAGCGAAAGCGCCGCAAAACCGAAATCCAGTCGCAGCTCACCGGTATGCACACGCAGACACGCACACACACACACACACACGTGTTTCCAAGTCACTCAACACCCCCGTGTGTGTCCCTGTGTGTCCCTGCCCTCAGAGTTGGATCGTCGCGCCAAGGAGACGGCCGCCGAGGAGGAGCGTGCCCGCGAGGCCGAGCGCGCCCGCGCCCGTGAGGAGCAGGAGAACGGCGAGGGGGAGGGCGAGGAGGACGACAAGGAGGAGGGCGAGGAGAAGGAGGAGGGCGAGAACTGATGCATGCCACACACATACCGCCACACATACATACGCAAATTCAGGTATGTGTGTGGAGGGAGGGAGGGAGGGAGGGAGAGAGAGGCGAGGTGCTGGCTATGCATCAGTGGCTGATGGTTTTGTGCTTCCTCTCCTTTTCAGGTGCCGTAGACCGAGTGTGGGCGGGGTTGGTTGGTGTGGGTGGTATGCGTTTGTGTGAGTTGGGATGGAGGGTGGAGGGAGGGAGGAAGTTATGCGTTGTCGATTTTCCTCTCATTATACACACATGACATGCAAAGCACCATCACATGCAGCCAGGCAGCCCATCAATCCATAGCGCTGACTGACTCACTCACCCACTTCACCTACCCACCCGACAGACACCCACAATGCTCGTCTGTCTGCGGCGTTTCAACACAACACAATGTTCCCCCCCTCGCTGCCTCTCGTCCTGCCCGTCTGTCCGCCCTTGCCCCCTGCCCCGTCTTTTTCTCCAAAGACGAGCTCTCTCGTGTGCCCTCGATGTCTGTCTGTCTGTCTGCGTGCGTCTGCCTCGCTGTGTTGATGTGTCTACGGTATCGTTAGTATTGCAGCTGTGATGTCGGGTGCATCGGGGAGGGGAGGGGAGGGGGGGCGGGTTGTGGCTGGTTGGGGGAGAGAGAGAGAACAGATGAGAGAAGAGTCGGTATGGCAGCGAGCCGGTCGCCGACTATTTTTTCCACTCTGTGTGTGTGGGAGTATGAGTATCTGTGTGCGGTTTGATGATGATTGATGGCCTAATTCAAGTGCTGTGGCCTCTCTTCACCGCCTGCCTGCCTGCCTGTCTGATGTAGAGCTTGACTGCGTCTGATATGCATGCATTGCATGGCTGCATACACCATCACACTGCTTGCTGGTGTAGAGGATCCCTCACCTCGTGTGTGCGTGTGTGTATGTGACGATTGACATGCTGCCTCTTCCCTCCCTGTGACATGTGTCTCTGTGGCTGGCCTTCCCGAACCTGTGTTAGCCCGGCGGTGAAATGTGACTCGCTGTCGACAGCGTTGATCGACGCTGTGTGACAGAGAGCCATTTCCCACGGCGCACAGCGCAGCACGGGCGGGAGGAGCAGCCGAATACACGGACACAGACGGAGTGAGTGAAAGCCAGGTCTTTCTCGTCTGCTGATGCTCCGTGATGATTCCTTTCTCCTATGCGGGCGACAGCGGGGTGGGGTGCCTCTCTGTTGTTGGCTTGGCTGGCTGCCCGTCCATTGTTCCGGACTGGTGTAGGCGTGGGAGACGACCTCATAACGGGGAGTTTGCCATGCCTGCACCAGGCCGGCGGTTTGGACGGGCGGAAGAGCTGAGTTGATGAAGACGGAGGGATGGATGGAGGGAGGGAGGAGCTGATAGATAGGCTAGTCTTGCTCGGCTGCTTGCTCGAGGCGGCGATCCTTTATGTTGTGTCCACATGACATGAAGCACCCACCATACACACCACCCACACCCACGCAGCACGCTCGTATACATGCCTGCATGCGTGTTTTCACCTGCTTGCCTGCCTGCCTGACACGAATGAATCCATCTCGCCAGCCACTTTGTTTAATCGCCCCAGTCGCCAAAGTGTGTCGACCTGAAGGTTGACACGACCTTTTTAACTGACTCTCTCTCTGTCTCGGCCGTGGCTGATGTCCTTCCTGTCTGCGTGCTGCCTGTCTGTCTGGCTCTGTGTCTGTCGTGTGGTGTGGCTAGCCACCTGTGTGGGTGCGGGTCTCTCTCTCAGTGCTGTCTCGTTCTTGGCCGGCTGCGTGTGCGTATCTGTCTGTCTCTGTGTGAGTGCAGACGCACTCCCTCCCTGGCATGTCTGTCCATGTGTGTGGTGGATTGACTGGTCGACTCGATTACTAGTGTCCATCAAGCATTGCATTATCCATCCATCCATCCGTCAGCCATTCATTACGTGGTGTGGAAGTGGAAACAAACAAACTGGTCGAGGATAGGATGGTCAGTCATTTGGCAAGAAAGCAGGCAGAGGAAAGAACGACTAGACGCATACAGAAGGTTGAAGGTCAAGTGGGTCCCACGCGTGCACTGCACGGATGCATGACATGCATGGAAGGAAGCATGCATCGAATTAGTTGTATATATCCGTCGTCTCGTCCAACCCCCTCCCTCCCCACCACCACACCACCACCATCTTCACAACACATACAGCACCTACACACACTCGTACACACGACACCAATCCATCCCATGCACTCACTGACATGACATGTACACCACCACTCGCCCATCCCAGCACGCACATACGTCCCCCCCGCGAGCCCCCGCGTCCGTCCGTCCGTCTGCCTGTCTGTCTGTCTGTGTCTCGCCGAGGGCCTCTCTCCCATTTGTGGAGGCGGGACGTGTCAGTCAGTCATTTAATTACGACAGCACCGCTGTCTGTCTGTCTGTTTGTTAGTCACCATCGAGTCGAGCTAGATGACCTACCCACCACCCAGCCCAGCCCCTCGTCCATGGTGCGTCAGTCGACCTTGATGGAGCCGTAGATGGCCCTCACGAAATAAAATGTTGATATGAACCCGATGGAACCTGCAGGCACGCCAACAGACAAAAAGTGCAGTGAGGGGGACGGAGAGGGAGAGACATCGATCTGCGGTGCGAGCACAGCACCCGACCGACCCACTTTCACTTACCGGTGAGGAGGAAGAATGAGAACGAGATGATGAACATGTAACCGAAATAAAGCAGTATCGACACGAACTTGTTGATCTGTAACCTGCACACACACACACACAAGCCACACAAAGAGAAGGAAAGCATGCCATGCCTCCCGCCAATGCATTATTGCAATCCAATCCGTGTGGTGGGAATGACTGCCTGCCCGTACGGTACCGTGTGGCGAAGTAGAGGACAGAGTAGAGGAACACGTAGAAGGCGCTGACGGCCGAGGCGAAGAATGAGCGCCACCACCAGTTGTAGTCCTCACTCGCCAGCTGGAAGTACGTCAGGGCGATCGAGATCTCGGCACATGTCAAGATCAGAATCACCAACACCAGCAGCAAGAACCCTTCACGGACCAATCAGTCAATACACACACCAGCACACCACACCCACGCACCCACGCAATTTGGGCTGTTTGTAAGTAACGAAGGCCACGGAACGCCCTCTGTGTCCCTCCCCCACCGAATAGGTAGTAGAACTGGTGCTGCCAGAGCGACGACATGATGAAAAACAACTCAGTAAACACAGCTCTGCATACACCCAGACAGACGGCGGCGGACATGACAGCACTGCAATTAACAGAGGAGGCCACACTTTGGTCTTCCCTCTCTCACCCGAAAGGCAGCACGCCGCCGACGAGGCAGGTGAAGATTGGCCCAATGAACCAGGGCTGTGCGGGGATCTGACGTGGGATCTGGTTCGTTCGCACCGGCAGCGATATCGGCTGGGCCTTGTAACCGAAATACGCACCCTGACAACACACACACACACACACACGCACAGAGCCATTTTCCGGTCAGGCTGCCTACGACCACGTGTACCACACCAGGCCAGCCCCCCGGCTGGGCTCACCAGAAAGACGAGTGGCGTGGATATGCCGAACCAGAGGACGAGCAGGGCGAACATGGTGGAGAATGGCACGGCGCCCGACGACTGCTCGCCCCACAGAAGGAGGTCGAGGACAAAGAAGATGACAAACACTGTGCCGGGGTACAGGAATGCCGTCAGCAGTGTCGTCCGCTTCCAGTCCTCTCCCTGACAGACAGACACACGAACGAACCGGTACACATGCAAACAAGCCGCGACTGGCGCATGGCATTCCGTAGGTGTTTGTATGTTCTGACCTTCATCATTTTGTAGAATCTGGCCGAGGTGTATCCTGCGAAGATGCCCATGAAGGTAAAGAGCAACAGCATCGCCTGCAGGATGCTGCCGCGGTAAGCGGGCGACAGGAACCCGAGCGCCACGAATATCAGCAGCACAATCGTCATACCAAGAATCTGCACACATGACGCACACGAGCGCATGTGTTGCCTCTCTCCCTCTCTCTCTCTCTCTCTGTCCCTCTCTCTGGCTTTTATGTACCTGTATCCCCGATCCGGCTGAGCAGGCTAGGATTTGGCTGTGTGGCGGCTTCCTGAAGACGTCCCCGTGGACGAGTTTCCATCCGGTCTCTTCCTGCGCCTCCTCCGCCAAAGCCATCTGCACCGAATGAAAGAAATCCGCACGAGTCGAGTGGGTGGGTGTTGGGTATGTCTGTCTGACCTCATTGTATTTTGCGATATCTCTGTGAAGAGTCCTGAGGAGGATCATGGCGACCATTCCCGAAAGGAACAGCACGATCATCAGCGAATTGATGATCGAAAACCTGCTCATACAATCCATCCGCATAAAGAACATGCTTGCAAGCCCAGCTCTCCCACCCTCCCTGTTCGCCCCGCTCAGTGGCTGATGGCTGACCAGTGTATTTGATCGTCCGTGGCCTGGCTCCTGAGGTAGATGTCCCACCGTGACGCCCACCGGACGTCAGACGGCTCCCACTTGACGCTGTAGCTGAAGGCCACCGACTGGTCGTTGGACAGCGAGTCCAGCTCCAGCAGGTCATCCACACCCTCACACCCGCCATTCTTGTGAAGCATGCTGCAATGCACCACACGCATGACATTCAGTGACGGGTTTGTGCACTGCCTCGTCAGTCAGTGTGCGTCGGTCGGCTTGCCTGTGTGGCGCGACCTCGAATCCGACGATTCTGTATTTCTCGACGCCCTTTCGCGGCTGGTGGTACTTGAGCACAATGTCCACGTGGTTGTGCAGGTAGTGCTTGCCCTAATGAACGAACGTCAATTACCCATACGCGCACCGCACAAGGCAGCTGTCGTGTGTGTGCTTGAGGATCGTCGTACCCCGGCTTTGCTGCCGACAGGGAATCCGTTGGTGTAGTAGAAGTCCTTCTGGGCCCCGCGATTCACCTCGTAACGCGTCGCAGCGGGAAGATTGTCGATCAGCCTGACGTGGCGGAACACACAGAAGACGCATCGCATCAGTCAGCGGGCGTGCAGCGGTCAGTGTGTGGCGTGCGTGTGGTACCTACCAGTTGACTTGGTATTCGTCGTCGATGACCTCCTTGAAGAGCGACCGCTTGTCGGTGTCGAGCTTCTTCTCACACAAGATCTTGCACTGAACGTCCTCCTTCATCTTCATCTGAGGCGATTGATTGATGCACACACGGACGGCCGGGCCACACACAAGAGAGAAACACGCCCGCTCCAGCTGAGTCGGCTTGCGAAGGGTGAGTGAGGTGTTAATTATCTCATCCCATTCACCTCATAGCTGGATGTTTCGATGACGTCGCCCGCCAGGATCTCGCCCAGATTCTCCACACTCTCCTTGACGTTCTCGGGCTCGCAGTATGGCAAGTAGTAGTACCTGCACAAGACACACACTTGCCTGTCGTGTCGTGGTGCCACGTGGTTGCGCTCACCTGTAAGGGAGCTGGGTCTTGACGGACGTGATTTTGTTGACCTTTAGCTGCACCTTCTTGCCTTCCTCATACTCTGTGGGTGCCACGCCAGGCAGATAAAATGCTGCAGTCACCTGCAGCAGCGCGAGCGAGGTAGCAGCGGCAAGCGAAGGCCTTAGCGGCCGCCTTGCTAAGATCCGGCCTCTTCCCATCTACGCCGATGCCAATGTGCTGTGCGCTTCGTTCGCCGTTTCTCAGCCCTCTCCGGAGAATCTCCTCGAGTCGGTTAGCATTTGCGAGCTCAAATTAGCTGGCTCGCAGCGGACCTCTCCGCGTCCTAGATCATGCTTCACTAAACGGCGGAGGAGAAAGTGCAAAGCGGATGCACCCTGGCCATGAGCTGCCCATGCGTTCGCATTGCTGGCAAGCTGACTTTCTACACTCCGCGCACGTGGTCGGCCAGGATACAGGTCTGTCCTCGCGAATGAGAGCCGTCAAACAACGCTCTGAGTGAAAGGGAGACGCCCCCAAGGGTCTCGGCAACGATGTCGAGACGAGGCCGTCCAGCCACGAGTCATCCCTGCCCACCCCTGCAGCCAACACGCCGGCCCTGAACAAGGCACACTCTTTCAAGGATGGCCAGGAAGACGGAAACGAGCCCACCGAGACACCAGCGGGAGGCTCGAGCTCCAAAGACATCGAGAGAGCCCCTCCAACAGACGAGAGCAAGAACCTGTCGTTCCACTGCGACGATGAGGTTGGGAACACAGAATCTCTGCGAAGATGCTCGTTATCCCGTTCCGGCAACAAACAGAGATGCACATGGTCAGTGCGGAGTGCAATGCTTGTACAGTACGCTGTGTCTGATCTGATTCCGATTGATGCAGATCCATCCATCCATCCGTCATCGAGATCCGTCGCCATTGCACAAAGTCTCTATGTACGTATCTGCACTAGCCGTCTACCGCATGGATCTATCAAATGTATGTGTGTCTCACTCACGCACACAGTCACCACCTGTAGTAGAAAGGCCTCTTGTCTCTCTCCTGTCTCGCACTCTGCGGCACAAGCTTCTCCTGCATCGTCTCGTGCCTTCTGCTGTCCACCCCCGCCCTCCTTGGCGAAGTGGCCGGTGTCGAGACAAAGAACAGAAATTGGTCATCCACTCCTTGACCAGACTCAGCCGCCATGCCCCGGCCTCTCAGACCACCGCCTAGTATGTTTATCTGTGCGCCCCCGCCGCCTCCCGTGCCGCGTGGTCCAATCTTGTGTGTGTCAGGAATACGCCCAACCGCCGGGCAGTGGATGACGGGGCCACCGCCCAGCAGGGGGGGTCTGGACGATGGAGCGGGTTGGTGGTAGCAGTCCTTTGCCTCATGTGCTTCTCTTTTGTGTGGCCTCACCGACAAATCACGGGACGATATAATGGCCCTTGATTTGTCAGTCAAATCGGCCAACATCCGGCGCAGCTGATCTAGCTCCTGAACAGCAAGAATCGACAGGCAGATGTGCAGGCAGAGAATGGAGCCCGTGTCTCTGTCTTACGTTCTGCAGCTGGCGGTCATCTGCCCCCCCTGCTGCCCCTCTCGTCACATATCGACACCGCAGACTAGGCGCACCACACTCGGGCCCCCTGCTGCCCAGTGCCGGCACGCCTTGGCCGGCCACACCACCGCCCCCCCTAATCGACGCCAGCGCACCAGGCACCGCCTCAGCGGGCATGTTTCCTTCCAGCACACGCCGCAGCAAGCGAATCATCTCGGCCATCTCCCCGTCCCTCTCCCGCTCCACATGGCGCTCATCCCTCTCCTCCCTCTCCCTGTTCCTTGGCACATGGGCCACGGGGTCGTCGTGTGCCTGTCTTGTGGAGCTGCGTGTCACGATGATCCTCTTGTCCTCCGGGCTCCCGACCGCCGAACCGCCCACGGAAGGGTCGCGTGCAGGGGAGGCTGATGTGACCGTGTTGGTGATATGAAGGGAGGGAGGGGGAGCGGGGGGAGGTGCAGATGGGCTGCGGTCGCTTGCCTGAATGACGATGTATCCTGAGCCGCGGCATTCAGGCTGCACGGGTCCATCGCCAACCAAATATGTAGCACGACGCATCTCGCCTCCATCAGTCTGCAGCTGCTGCGGCTGCTGCAGGTACTGCTGTTGCTGCTGCTGCTGCTGCTGCTCCACTGCATGCTGCTGCTGTTGGGGCAGAAACGGCTGAAATGGGTCCGTCGGTCGAGGAGTGATGAGCGACGAAGACGGTGGCACCATCGGTCCGTGCCAATGTGGACAAGCCATGCCGCCCTCTGAGCGGGGAGAGGGAGATGGGACACCGCTGTCGGTCTGGGTCGATCGCACGCGCACTTCAGTGGGGCTGGGTTCTCCGGAGGCAACGGACCTGCACTGTCTCGGCTCGGTCTGTATGTCCCTCTCCCTCGAAGCCGCCCGATCCGTCTGTGTGACAGAAGCACGCCTCGGCGTGTCTTCGGTCTGACTTGGGCTTGCGCGTCGCGGCGACTCAATCGTCTGGCCCGAGCTGTCCCTTCTGCTGGTTGGGGGCGGCAAGGGTGGCATCTGAGGGCTCTGGCTGCTCGAGTCGCGAGTCGTGTGTCGCACAAGTGAGAGCTCGGTTTGGCTGCGGACGTCTTCCAGAGGGGGCGGGTCGGTCTGGGAGCGCTTGGCCTCCACCACCACCGCTTGTGTCTGGACTCCTTTGCCTTTCTGCTTGGGGTCGATCCGCGTCTCATCTGTCTGTGTGGCCGTCTTCTCCGTCCTTGCCATCGTCTGCGTGTGCTTGTCTTCAGGGACGACTTTCACCAGCGACAGGTCTGTCTGGGAGAACGAGTGGCTTTGGCGTTTCGTCAAGAGGGACTCCGCGGTATGACTTTCGCCGCCCCTCGTCGCCACTTCAACCTGCGTTTGCTGCTCCTTCTCAGGCACCCGAGTGAGAGCCGCTTCAGTCTGGTTCATGGCGTGAGACGAGCCAAGCAGGTCCGTATGAGATGTGCTGGCCTCCAGAAGAGCTGCCGTGTGCGTCTGCACTCCCGAGGTGCCCAGAGCCGACTTGTCGGTCTGCATGGCCGTAGTCTGTGGCTCAGCCAGTCCTGCTGCGTCAGTCTGACAGGCTGCATGGTCGCAATTGATGACTGTTTGGGTCGCTCGTGGAGTTGCTGGACACCTCAGGTGAGAGACATCCGTCTGGTTCATGGCATGCTGGACAGGAAGGGCGTCGGTCTGCGAAATTCGGCTGTCGGTCTTCTTTTCGTCCGTCTGATTGCCGATTGAGGCCGCAGCTCCGGTTATGAGGGGGCTCTCCGTCTGAGCCTCAGCCACATCAGTGTTCTGGAGAGCTTGTGTTGCCTTGTCATTCGCCAGGATCCCCTCACCAATACTTGTCTGGACGGCCGTATCCATTTGGGAGCCGCCTTCCCACCGGCTGCTCTGGTCCTGGTAGACGGGGGCCTCAATCTGGCCCTCCTGGTCCCTTGTTTCCCGAGTTTCCGTCTGCGTGCTGTTGAAGACGAGGAGGTTCTCGAGGGCGTCAGTCTGGGATTCAGCATGGCTTCCTTCAGTGTTATCTGTCTGCATGGCCGCCTCCAGCCTCTCCGAAGGGGGAACTGACGCCATGTGCATATCGCTGTCTTGAAGCACGGCGCCTTCTGTCTGCACGGTGCCCTCAATAAAGCCCGCCCCGCTGAAAGACACCGCAGTCTGCACGCTCCCTTCCAATAGCGCGTGCGCAATGTGTTGGCTCCCCGCCTCTTGTGTCTCTAGTGCAGCCTGCTCCATCTGGTCTTTGATCTCGGGCGCACTCTGCGTCATTTGGTCAGTAAGGCCCATCAGCTTCTCGCTCTGTATAGCTTGCTCGATAGCCTCAATAGGCTCGGTTTGCAGAGCGCCTGAGTCTCGGCCTTCCACACGCGCTTGCATCTCGCTGGATGTTAGCTCCTTTGTCTCGGTCTGCATGCCTTGGTGGTCTATCTCGTTCTCATCGCCAAATTGGCAGCCAAAGTCCGACACAGCGACTGTACCGCGGGACATGAGGACGTCTGTTGAGCCCTTAGGCACCAGTCGCCCGGATGTCTCACCCACAGAAGCCGACCTGGCCGGCGGCTCTTCAAGCTCGGCTTCATCTCTCGTTTCTGGAATGGGCATGCTGGCTGCCGACAGCCGTCTGGCGTTGCGGTCAGCAAGACGCATGCCGTGGCCCACCAATCCCCTTGTGTTCATTGACAGGCGTCGCATCTGGGCCTTCGCCTGTTCTTGGAACTTCCTCGCTTGATCTTTGAAATTATCTAGTTTCTGCTCGTACTGCTTCTCGCAATCTTCCATTTGCTTCTGCAGCTCCTCCAACTTGGTCTCAAGTGTGACCTGAGGAAGCGGAAAGCAGATCTAGGAACGGCAGTCTCGAGAAATGCATATGGGATGGGCTTGACCTTCTCGTAGATGAGATGGGCGTTTTGTGCCTTCAGTCGGGCCTCATCTGCCTTCAGCGCCTCTTTCTCGCTTTCAGCAGCCGCAATGGCTCGCTCGACCTCTGCGTCTGCATGACAAGCAAGGACAAGGGGAATCGCCAACCAAAGTGGTTCTTTGCAGTTGAAAGCACCAAGATTCACCTTTGGCCTCCGCTTTTTCTGTAGCCTCGATGAGTTCCTGCTGCAATCTCTCGATATCCTTCTCTTGAGCCACGGTGACGGTCTCGAGGTCCTCCACTTTTTGAAGACTTTCGTACTCTGCATCGCGGCTCGCCTTGAGGCGGTCCTGAAGCTCCTCAGTGGCTCCTTGGATGCTCTTGACTTTCTCCTCGTAAGACTGCTCCAGCCTCTCCTTCTTTGACTCGAGCTCTTTCTCCTTCTCAACACAGCGCATCTTCTCGGCCTTGGAGCGATCGATCATGCCTCTGATGCCGCCTTTTAAGCCTGACATGCGGCCCTCGACCTTGTCTACAGCAAGAGCAAGACGAGACATGCCGTCTTGTCCCTGCTCTTCTTCTTCTTCTTCTTCTGGATTCTCTTCCTCTTTCTCTGTTTTCGCAAGATCGGCCTCCAGCTTCATGGTGGCACTTCTGTCGACCCCCTCGCCTACAGCCTCGTTGTCGGGGCCCTTCTTCTTGCGGTCGAGGTAGCTGACAATGTATTCCAACACAACGTCGACTTTCTCCAGACGTCTGCTGACTCTATCGAGGTCACTGGGCGCGGCCTGGGCCTCAGGGATAGTGAGCGACAGATGGGAGGTGCTGGTGGCCATGTCGATCTTCTCAACAGGCCTCTTCCCCGCCTGCTTGCGTCTCTCCTTCATTGACTCCCAAGAGGATGCCAGCTCTGAACCGTCATCCTCCTCTTGGACTGTGTCTTGCCATGATACCTTGAGTGATCCCTTGCGGCCGTCGGGGCTTCTGAGAGCGGATGCCAGCTGAAGGGAGATGGTTCCAGGCATGGCGGAGCTGCGCCGTGCTTGCGTAGCCTCTGGCGGAATGTCGAGCTTGTTGAAACCGCGTGCCAATGCAAGCGGCGCTGCCTCAGTGGCGCGACGGACACGATTGTATTTGGCTTCCTCCTGAGAGACAGAAAACGAAAATGGACGCCCATCCCTCATGGTGGTCATGTCTGTGTGTCTCCGTTTACCTCTGCCTCCTTTTCCCTTTTGCTTTGCGATCGGAAGATCATCTTTTGAAACATCTCCAGCTTGTCCTGTATCTCATTGATCATTTGCGTGCCTTCGTCCTCCTCCTCTTCCTCGTTGTCCTCCGTGATCGCTGACACCTCACTGACACCAGATTTGCCACGCGCAAGGCCGCCAGGAGGCACGAGAGACTGGCGGCGCATCGCGTACAAAACGGGATCCACTTCGCCGCGCTTCTCTGTATCAGGGAGAACAACTCGTGGTTTCGTGATGACAAGCAAGTCGCCGCGTCCAGGGCCAGTATCCTTAAGCTTTGACTCCAAATCCCGGAGCTGTGCTTGCAGTTGTTTGATGAGCTCGTTCTGGCGGTGAATGACGGATTGTTCGGGCGAAATGAAGTTCTCCTCGATCCTGTTCTTGATCATTTTGGCCCTGGCCGCAAACCTGCCCGTAAAGAAAGAACGTATTCAACATGAGACACGGCGTACATGGCTTGTGGGAGCGAGACGTCGCCTTCTGCCTACCGTAAAGCCTGGATGGCTTGGTCAACGTGATTTTCTGTGGGATTCAGCGTGACCAGGAGCACCGTGTGACTGTTGCCTCCTAATGAATTGGCAAGGAGTCTGGTCAGTTTGGAGTCCCGATACGGGATGTGGGTGTGTGATACGGCGCCCGCCTTCTCCTGAATCGTGCCGGCCGTCACTGTTGGGGCAGATGAGCGGCCGGGACCCTTGGGAAGGGGGGATGGAGGCACTTTGAGTGCCGGCGCTGCCGACGCTGCAGCCGCTGCGGCTGCCGCCTCCCTTTCCGCCTTGTCTTCTTTGCGTTGGGCCTTGACGAGACGGGAGATGCACTCAGATAGGAAGAATAGGGACTTGTTGATCAACTTGCCCTCCTCCAGCCGGTCGCCCTTGAGGTGCCCAGCCGGCTCACAACCGGCGAGATCGACGACGTGCTGAAAGAGAGGGAGAACTCACACTGGCACGTAGTAAACATCACGACAGACTTACCAAGCGCCCCACACACGTCGTCTTTGTTTCCGCCACGAACTCTCGCTCCGACTTGGATGAAGGCACTGTGGGTACACACAGTAGCCACAAGTCGCCAATATCTGGTGTGATTGCTTTCCGACCCCGATCTGTCATACCATCTTCCCCTTTGGCCTTGTCTAGATTGAGTGATGACGATCGGCGCAGTGGTGGAGACGTAGCTGGTGAACCGCGTGGGCTTGTTCGTGTAACTTTGGTCGTCGTCTTTTCCACAATGAAGGTACAAACGACATGGGATCGGCTGGACCGCTCATTGAAGTCAGTGGCTGCATATCTTCGTTTACTCTCTCCCTCGCCGATGAGGACCAGAGCCTCCTGAGCGCCCGAAATAAGACGCTCGAGCACTCCTTGTACAAAGAATCCTGATTGCATGGAAACATACGTGGAGACATGAAAGACATTCATGGTGTTGTACCTTTGCCGGGATCCTCTTTGACGGCAAGGTTTTGATTCTCAGGTGGGTCTTGAAGAAGATCGGTGACCATCTCTTTGTATATCTCTAAGTAGCTGAATCGAACGGAGAACTCGTGCGTCTCTTGCGTCTTATCCTTGGTCTCGCTCTCTGTCGAGCTCTCAATGGATGCGAATATCTCGTCGATTGCGCGTGGCAGGATGCCAGGATCGTCGTGATTCCCCATGATTGAGTGTGTCTTCCCAGATCCAGTTGGGCCATAGGTGAGAAAGCAGCCATTAATTCCTGCGAGACATGTATGGCTTTCAGTGGCCATTGTATGTCCTGTCTTCCTCGTACCTGTGAACACTGTTTTCTTGATCATCCGCGTGGCCATCTGGTCGTATAGGTCCGCATTTGTGATGTCTGCACCCAGAATCGTCTCGAAGGTGAATGTCAGGGGCTCAAAGGGCTCTTCTCCCTTGCTCGCGGTCGCCCTCGACCCAAGTCCTCCAGCAGCAGCCTTTGGCGGCCGCTCAGCTGACGCTTTCCGAAGCGCTGCCTCAACTGCTCCCTTCTGGACACCCGGGAGGACCTGAGAGAAAGAGAGAAAGATATGGACGAGTCGCCGCGATGTTCGCCCAGGTCCATTCTGCGAGGCTGCACCGACCTGGTGAATGGCGTTGCCGTCGATGCGCCACGCATTGGAGAAGCTCTTCTTCTCACTCTCATGAAGTGGTCGCACACGCACTGCCACGTTAATGTTCTGCGTTTTTCCATCGCCGTCCTCGCTGTTGCCAAGTGCGGCTGTTGGGGCTTCGAGGGATCCTATCTTGGATGGCGGTGGAGGGACGGCGTCACTCATCGCGAAGTTTCCTCACAATTCTGGGGGGCGAGCTGGGGGCCTAAGTCTGCCAGTGCATGCAGAATCGATAGCAACTTGGAGCCTCGTTTCCTCGCGACGATGATTTCTCGTGTCGTTCGCATGATAATCGGTCGCCTGATTCAGCAGCATCTTAGTCGTTTCTTTACAGTTGAGGACATTGACCGCCAGTTGAGCATTGCTTCCCTCACAGATCCCGACATCGAGCTGACGGATGTGCCGCTCAAAGGAGCCATCCTCGACCTGCTGGAGTAACACAAACACAGAAACACACAACACAGCCATATCGTTTCTATTCTGCTTTCCGTGTGTAGCCTGCCGCTGGACCTGGTGAGGGGAAAGGCGGACTGGGTCCGAGTCAGGTTCGCATGGAAGACTCTCTTTGATTCTACGGGGCCCTCGGTGGCCAAGCAACGGCAACAAGATAATGGAGAGGAAAGTGCTGCGCGCACAGACGAGCAGCCTTTCCTCTTAGTTGAGGCCAGGAGAATGCATATCGTGGCACGGCTGAGGGACCCGTCGACATGGGACGCTGCAGCAGTGAGGGAGAAGCACGAGAATTCCAAGACACGGCTTTTGACAGCCTGGTACAACTTCCTTCGTTCATGGCGAGGACCCGACAGGGGAGGGGCGGTTCGCCTTGGAGGCGGCGAAGCATTCAGCTTCAGCGAGCGAATTCAGCGCAAAGCGATTGGCGTCATGAAGGTTCGAGCCGAGGAGTTCTGCTTTGACCTTATTGCTGATTGCCTGCCTCCCCACTCGTTCGGCATCCGCGTCAATTGTTCGGTGCTCCACGTCGGGCCTCCAAGTGGCGATGAGGACGAGATTGAAATGGACGAAAGGGAGCAACAGGGGCTGAAACGGCTTCTTTTCGACGGCAAAGTTGTCCGCTTTGAGCGGGCAAGCTTTGCATACATCCCACCGCCGCAGGACGAGAGGGATGCAACAGGACGAGAGGAGAGTACGGCAGAAGGGGAGATCGGGCAGGCAAAAGTGGGCGCAGAAGACGAGACAGAGTCGCTGCTCAGAGGGCCAAGGCAGCAATTCTTGGAGGACAGCAACTGTAAGTAACGCATATGTGTGCGACCGGGCAACAGCGGGAGTGTTCCTCCTTTGTTCAGTGCTTATCGAGGTTCGCCGATGGCATTTGTCGGCCCCCCTCAGTTTCAATCTCAGCGACCTCCCTCTCTTCCTGCTCGCAATCACCGTGACTGCATTCCCATCTGTCACACAACAGGAGCAGTCGGAGAAGCCTCTTCTTATTTTGGCGCTTCCGGACCACATTCTCAACGCCCTGTGGACCATCTACCAGTGAGCATCTAACCTGGCCACCAACACGCGCTGTTGAGAGGGTGTGCTACTGGATCAGGTTCCTGGACCTTTGGTGGACTTTCGCCAAGGGTTTAAGGCTACCGACTGGCATAGATCCCCGGACACAGGTGTGTTGTATCTTCTCCAACATGAATGACACGAGTGGTGCGTGCTGTCCACAGCCATCGATCACGATTGCTCTTGTGCTTTCGTTGTTGACAGGAAGCGGCACGCTACGTAGACCTGTGGATAGAGGCTGCTGGAAGGAGACACACACATGTGAGTTGCCAAGAAAAGAAGTGTTCCGTCTGTCCTTGATGAGATTTATCGAATTGCAGGGCGCTGTCGTTGCAGCCGCCACTGCTCCGTTCGTCTCTGCCGCCAGACAAGAGCTCCAAGAGATGGAGCGCCACTTTGCAGGTACAAGCCTTATTCACCTGCAAAAGGAGGCGCATCGGAAATTGCAACGGGAAATGGAAGAGAATGTGAGACAACATCAAATACCGCCTTTTCTTATCCGATCGAGTTTCTTTGCTTGCGTTAGATCCGACCTTCTATCTGGGGATCGGTCTGTTGTCAAGCAGGGCAGCATCACGCCCGAGGTCCGTAGCAGGGCTGAAGACTGTTGCATTAGTCTTGTATATTTGTCTGTTTTCATCAGCCTCCCTTCATCCCTCAAGCGACCTCAACAAGGCCAGCATCGATGAGCGACTTGACGAGACGTCGAGCGACCCGTCCGATGAGGGCAGACATGGAGAGGGCGAAGCGCAGCCTGAAACAAGAGCGCTGCACTGGTTCGGACTAGATCAAACGATAAAGGTGTGAAAGATGCCACGATTCTTCGTCACAAAGCCTTCAATGTTTTCCGTGTTTCGGCAGGTGTCTATTCCTCGCGTTTTGCTTCGCATCTTCCCACTGCCTGATCCGTCGCTCCTCCCAGCCCACTCACGGCTTGAGTCCTCAGTTTTGTCCCCCCCAAGCGACACAGCTGCCCCCGTCCCACCCATTCATGCAAGTACGTCCAAGTGGGCAAGTGTTCAAGGCTTTGAGATGACGTCTGAGGCGGGAGAGAGGAAGACAACGCACATCGCCTTCGAAGAGGTCACCAGCGGCACTCAGGAGATTATAAGCGAATGGCTTGCAACGAGCGAAATGGATTATGCGCTGCAAGTATCGGCATCGCAGCCTTCATCAGTGCTACTGCACGCCGGACCGCTTCCATCGCCGTCAGTGCAGGAGACAGGTAAGTCTCGCCGTGTACAACGCAAGTCGGCATGGCTGCCATTTCCTGTTTAACAGATGTGCCGGCTCGCCCCACACGAGTCCACAAGAGACGCGCCAGTCAAGACATTTCCGAATCGGTGGACGAGATGGGAAAGCGGGCAGTCAGGAGGAAGACAGATCGCGTGAAGAATGGAAATGGTGACGAAGAAGCTGGCTCGGCCATCCGGTGCGAAAGCGAAACGCAGATGGGGCAGCGGTGTGCTTGTGATGGCCCCTCAGACTCTCTCACATACACAGATTCACGAGTACGTACACAAATAAAGAACACAACGTCCTTTTCTAATTGCTCGCTTTTCCAGGACCGTGAACGCTTTTACTCGATCGATTTCTCTCACGTCCGGGGCGATGCGCGGCTCCTTTTATCCCTTGTGCAAGACATCCTTCCTTCATCAGAGGTGAATGCCCAATGGCTTGCGCGAACTCACCATGAAAGTGCTGCAGAGGTAACATTCCGCCTATTAACACTTATCACTTTCAGCCAACAGATCGCTTCGCGTCTATTCGTGTCTGCAGGTTGTTGCGGCCGTCGCGGCAGGGCAGTCAGACAGTGCGCGGTTTCAGCGGCTGCGTGTCGAGGCGGCGGAGGCTGCTGTCCGCTTTCGCCCCGAAGCTCCCGCCAGTCCCTCTGACGCAACAGACATCCCGCATACGCTCGTCCAAGCAACTGCTCTCGACTTAGAGTATCACCCCGACTCTCAGACAGTCGCTGTCCACGCCGCTTCATCCCAAGCGTTTGCCGAAGGCTCCAGCTACGACGGTGACGAGTTTGATGGAAGGGGTCCAACAGCAGAGCTGGCAATGGTGCCCAATCTGTCTGTCGTGTACTCGCCAAGAAAACTCGAATTACGCGTCGCCGAAATGGAGGTCTCCGTCAGCACTGCGCTGTTCATTGTTGTCAAGAACTTCAAAGGATTCCTTCCTCGATGGCAGAGGAGGCAGAGTTTGGCAGAGGAGACACGGATTGCGGAACAAGAGACGCCAAACCAATGCTTCGACATAAGGGCGAACCAGGCAAGAGAAGCCAGAGGTCAAGCATGAAGCTGCCACTGCAGACGGGTATCTCGTGATGGCTTTCATTGCAGATTGCTTTATATGTGTATCGCAAGCGCAACCTGTGGCTCATGTCGAGGCTTGAAGGGCTTCTTTTTGTTTATGGTGAGCATGAATGAGTCTTGTTGCCACCCTTGTGTCTCTTGCATGTCGTCACTCAGATCCCTGTGGGGATGCGGGATTCTCACTGAGTCTGCATTTGGATGAAATATTTGTCGAGTACATCGAAGTGTTGTCATCAAAATCGTACAGGTATGCGGATCGTGCCCCCTTCTTGCTTGTCCGCGCTGGTCCAAATTCATTTTGACACAGACCGTCTGTGGTTTTCTCCAAGCACATTGCCCACGTGGCAGCACTTACTAACAAAATGAAGGAGCGAACGTCGCCTACGGCGTCAGAGTGGACGGTCATGTCTGGGACGTCGACTGTCGCCGGCAGAAACAAGGGACAGGTACGAGTGGCATCCAATGAAGGCAAACAATTTCTGCCGATCTTCTCCAGGTGTCGATAGTGGTGCGCTATGGGCGTCGCGAGGAGAAAAACTCAGCCAAAGCCGTTGATGATAAAGAACTCTATGTGTCAATGCATCTCGTGTCGATTCATCTCTTTCCCACGGCATCCTTTCTTGCTGCTACCCTTGGTTTCGTCAAGTTCGCACGTGTAAGAGGAAGTCAGCTCACTCAAAGAAGCAAGACTTTGTGTCTCAGGTTTTTGGCTGCGCCTCAGGAATTCTTTGCTGGCGAGTCGGAGCCTTCTGCTACCGTTTCCAGTCCCATCTCTACTCTTGCGGTATCACCCCACAGCCTCGCAGTGGGCGCCAATCTTTCGTCAGCCGCTCCATCTCCCCTTTCTCGCATCGCATCCACCGCTGCCAAAGTTGTCACATTCGTCCACAACGTCGGAATCCACATGGTCAACGCCGATGGAGGAGCCGCCAGCGACGCGCCTTGTGAAGAAGATGTGTTACGAAGCGAGCTGCGTTCTGCTGACGGGCAGTCTCCTACCAGTTTGGCGCCAGAAAGTGCGGTGTCGGTCATTTTGACTGTCGATGACTGGCTGAGGGGCCCTGCGAATCGAGAAGGAGAACGAGGAAGCCACTGGGAGCGTGTTGAGGGGAGAACGGCCGTCGTCGATGTCAACAATTATGGTGAGACAGCATGGGAATCTGAATAGTCTTGATGAGTCGAATTCGCCCAGGTTTCCGAGTGTACTTCAAGGGCGAATTTGACTCTGACCCCGGCATACAAACGCGAGTTTCCTTGGCCCCCCAGGCTACCCGACCGGTCCATGTCATCAAGTTGAGAGTCGATCGCATTGAAATCGGCATCATGCGAAATGCCACATGGCTACTCACTGCTTTCGTCGTCCACAACGTCTCCTTCCGTGCCAATTGGGCTGAGAAGCTGCCTTTTTCGCTTGCATCATCCGCCAGAAGGGACGGCGATCGATTTGTGCCACAGCAGGAGACCTTGCAGTTCTTCTTTCACGTCGACCGCATCTATCTGTGGCACATCGACAATGACGATAATCGAGGGCCTTCTTCTGTCAGCCCGCGCCCCTCTTCTTCCATCTCTCAATCGCTGCGCCGCAGTCACACAAGCACAGCCAGCATTGGTCAGGCGGAAGCGTCGCCTTCGCTGACAGGTTCACCCTCGTCGCTTATCAAGCATCTGCATCAGTCGGCGTCTCTGCGGCGCGCAACCACACTGATGGACGACAAGGCCGCTGACGAAGGTGCCAAAACTTCACCAACAAGCCAGTCAGCGCGACGATCGACTGTCAGCTCGGGGCGGCCAGGGAGTACACTGTCCGGCCATCGGGCTCACGCAGGCTTCTCGCGTGCGTCCCTTTTGTCATCGCTTCACCGCGATGTGTTTCCATCCTTGTGGAACGAAGCCGGAGAGATGCAGGGCGATGCGACAATTGACGGAACAGGAGGCTTGACGCTTGAGGAGCGGCTCCACAAGGAGCTGTGGTATCATCCTGACTTCGAGGAATGTTTGCCGTGGCTGCCTCCATTTGCGGCCATCGTGGCCGATCACACACCGCCTGTCGTCTTTCCAGTCATGTTCCAAGTGAACCAAGGAGACGAGATGGGGATGGAGAGGCATATCGAGATGGAGCTGACGACATCCGATGGAAAACAGAAGAGGTTTGTGACCAAGATTGCCACCACCCGGCTGAGATGCCACCCACACACGGTGAGCACGGAGTGGCAATTTCGAGTGCTGCCATCCATTTGTACATTCTTTGTCCTTTTGTGCAGATCCGCATGGTCCAAGATTTCATCAAGCATACGCAGCAGTGGCAGGAGAATCTCTCCGAGCAGTGAGCCATCACACGGGTCTCGTGTCTCATTGATTCTTCATCGTCTTTGACTTTTCTTCAGTCTAGGTGCATCACGCTCGGTCGCTGCGCATTCCAGGCCATGGCAGGATTCCATTCTCAACCTTTCATCGTCGTCTTGCTCTTCTTTGGAGGACGTCTCTCCCCCACCTGCCCTTGCCTCACTTCCAGAGGCTCAAGAGCGACAAGAAGAAGACAGACACGAGAAGGAGACGCCGACTGGTATCTGGGATCGCGTGCCACAGAACATGACGACGACTCTTGAGTTGGGAGGGATACAGGTGTGAGCACATATGAACAACTCTGTCACTTCCACCTGCTTCTGTGGTCATCAGCTGCTGCTTCCCACATTGAATGACCTTAACGTCGCACTCAAGGTGTCCGCCACGCCGAGCCAACCTTGCGGCATGTCCAATGTACAATACCTCGTCGCATGCACATCGACCGTCCCCGCTCCACGAATTGACATCAACTTGAAAGGCGTCGCGTCCGAGCAAGAAGCTGTGGCTCTCTCGCCGTGTTCAGCGTCGACACATCCATCTTTGCGTTCTCAAGTGTCCACGGGGAATGGGACAGCAGGCAAGGCGCGTCAGAGGGAGTTTGTTTTCAAGCTGGACCATGTGAGGCTTGGCCTGAAGCAGGAATTGAGCGCGGAAGAAGAGAGGCAAGGGCGCGAGGCACACGAGTATATCGTGACTTTTGAGCTCAAGCAGGTCCAAGCGCATTTGGCGTCAGTGCCAGGCCAACTCAGGTAGGATCTCATCATCAGGATACACTGCACATAGCTTTTGTTTCTTCTTGTGACCTCCTCGCAGCGCTGACATTTCTGTTCGGAACGTGACAATGCTGGACCGGGCCCAGCAGTCTCTGATCACGAACACCATCGCACTCAAGGCCAGCCATCCGCTTCCGAGCCATACCCCTTCAGCGCGCACTAACAAGAAGCCCTCGCGCGAGCAGCTCACCTGGAGCATTCACAAGAGCAAGTACTTGCAGCAGTCCTTTACAAATCTCCAGAACCTGCGGATCGAGCTGCGTCTGCATCTCATTGTTCCGCTGTTCCGCTTTCTTGGTGGGGTCCTGCGATTCAACAACGATATCACAGCTCCTTCGCCAAGCCACTCAATCCAGCCTACCTCAATGCACTTCACGACTGCACGCACCTCCACTTTCAGGATCTCTTCTGACCTGTCGTCTGAAGCAGTCCCGCGTCCCCCTTCCAAGCATCGTGTCGGCACAGACACCAGGGCTTTACTGCTATTGCTTCCAGAGATCGTCGTCGTGGCTCATCTCGCCAGCACCGGCCACTCTCGGCAGGTGCGGTCGAGCGCTCCTGGGCTGACGGTCCAACTGCGCGAGGAATCAGAGCCCTCTCACTTTCTTTCCGACCTCGAGTACAGCGCAGACATGCGAGACATGGGAGGTTGCGGCACAGGGCATGAGGAGAAGGAGCGAACCTCACGGGTGTGGCAGCCTATTAGAATGATGAGCGGGGCTGTTAGGACACTGCGCAAGACAATAACCCTGACGCCTCAGAAACCAGGTGAGATGGCACATTAAAATGAAGGCAGGTCAACAAAGAGTGTGCTCCGTGTCTACAACTTGCCTTTAGACCAGCATATCCTTGTGGCAACCGAGCATTTCCGTCCGACTCCAATGCCCGATGAGGACTCTTCTGCGGTGTCAAGGCCAGCGTCAATAAGGACGGATCCTTTGCGATCGATCTCTTTGCTTCGTCGCCCGTCTCCTCCTTCGATGGATCAGATGCCAGGCCCAAAGAGCCTAGCATCGTCGGCGGCCGCTCGCACATTGGGCCCGATCGCACGCCAACCTTCTTTCGTATCTGCCGATGACCAAATATCGCAGGCCGCCATCACGGCAGGCGAAAGAAGGCTATCGTCAAATCCATTCATTCGCTCTCTTTCGCGAAACCTGAAGCCGCCCCAAGGTTTCGGAGGCAGGAGGACGGAAGAGGAAGATGCACCCCCTGCGGATGACGTGAGGTCTGAAGACAAGACCAGGTGGGATAACACAATTCCCGAACGAAGCCGCGGCTTAACTCGTCTCCTCTGTCCTCGCAGCGCGTCTGGGATCATGTCTCGCCCGTCGACTATGTTTGGTACAGTGGGTAGGACCTTGCATGGAGTGATGAGAATGACTAAGGCGCTCGTACAAAGGTGAGCTGCCAGAAAGAAAGTTGCGACTCTCATGGGTCAGGTGGTGTTCATGCGAATTGTCAGGCATGACGATGGTGCTAAGCAAGGGGATGCGTGCAAACGATACGAAGAGCCTTCTATGCCAACCGTTCCGCCTACCAGGCCGATCGCAACACAGTTGGTCACCATTCACGTCTCATCTCTCGAGATCTGGCTGCCTCCGCTGCCCAGCGATGAGGAACTTCTAGGCATCAAGAAGCAACCAAGTCAGACGGCAGAAAGGCCACGTGGGATTCAAGCGGAGCCGAAGCTTGCAAACGAGAAGCCTGACGCTAAGACCCGGCGGTCGACTGTGGCTGTAATGGGTTGGGAGACGCCGTCAGCTGTGCGACATGGCCAGTACGTGCCTTCTGTTGTCGACGACGTCCACTTCACGCCATCTCTGCAAGTGTTGCACACGAGCAATGAGATCGACGCCTTCCAGGCGTTTGAGCGTGGCACCCCTGAGATCGGTGACGATAGCGTGCCATCGGCTGTAACAATCCCTTCCTTGTCCAATCCTGCATCGCTACCTCCAAGCAACCGCACAGATGTCAGAAAGGGCTCGGATCTGACCGTCGGCATCCTGCTTGGATTCGAGTTGACGGCAAAGAAGCAGCCACACTTGTCGAACGTCTCGTGCCACCTAGAGGAGCTCTTGATGCTGTACGGATGGCCCGAGATCAAGAACACAGAGGCGCGCGAGACAGGAGAAGACAACAGCCAAGGCGCGGTAGGTTCGCCTATACCGTCATCGTCATCATCCACAAGCTCTGCTAGCCCATCCCCTTCCGGCGCCCGCTCGCCGCGCCCTGACAGTGAACGTGCCCCCTCCGCCTCTCGCCCTCCATCCCCACCAATCCTCACTGGGCCAACAGGGTCGATGCTGGTTGAAAGGGCATCCAACAGAGATGACTGCTTCTTTGAGATGAACCAAGTGTACGCGAATGTTAAGGGCAGTCCGGGTCTGCGAGAGGTGACCGTCGAGCGCATTGGTCGTCCTTCCAACCATGTCCACGAGATCCGAGTGCGGATGTCATTTGAGAATTCTCGCCGCTTCCGTACTCTGTCGAGACAGCTCAACCACACTATCAATGAGCTGCGTGCCAGCTGGAAGACAATTGTCCAGAGCGATCGAGAGGAGGGCCAAGAGCTGCACTATGTAGCGACATTCTCGCCTGAGTTTGAGCGCGGCGTGACACAAGACCACTTGGGACTGATCAGCACTGACGAGCTGCAAAAAAAGCGAAGAATGTCAGATGAGCGCCAAGACGAGGATGAAGAAGACGAAAAGAGGAGACTATCTGCATCATCACAGCGCAAGGTATCGCTCCCTCATGTGTTGACAATGCCATGGAAGGCATCAACCCTCAAGACTGGGCAAGAAAGGGAGAGGGAAGCTGAATCGGCATTGCGAAGGGCAAGTCACAGTGGCTCGCTGGATTTACCCGGCGAGGTCAGCAGGATTGCAGAGGAACCCTCAGAAATCGTGACTGTCGCCAGCGAAGCTCCAGGGCGATTGACAATGTTGAGACGGCTTTTCGGTGCCAGAAATGACCCAAAAAGAAGAAGGACAAAATTCAGTCTAAGAGATTCCTTGCAGGAGAAGACAGGAGTCAGTCAACCCAGCTCTCGTCGCCGTCGGGCATCGGCCCCTTTGCCGGCCAACACGTCTTCTGAGGACGAAGCAGACGATGCAGGAGAGGACATGTCTCCAGCACTGATGAAGCGGCACCAAATGAGGCGCCACGCTTTCAGGGAAGCCGGCAGGCGACGAGTTCCTGTGGGATTCAGGAGGCGGCATCAGCCGACTCCGCAGCGCGAGGCCGCTGAAGAGGCTGAGACAGGGAGTATTTCGACAGCTGGAGAAACGGTCGACCCGCTCGAGTGGCTGTTCACGCCGCTCTTCGATGCGACGGCGCCTGATGAGGAGATCTCTGGCCAGGGAGCCCCCCCCTCTTCAGCTGCTTCTGAATATCATGATGATGGGCCGAATGTCACAGAGAGCGTTTCTCTCGCCGCTGTCGGACATCAGCGACTGGTCGAGACAGCCGTGCCAGGTACTTCGCCTGTCTCACGAAAGCCCCACAAGCGTCGCCTCACCCTGCGAGTCGACATCTGCGAAGTATCATTCAAGGTCCTCGACATGCAGCTGCAGCTTGTGTCCTTCGCGGTGAAAAACTTCAAATTGGAAGGGTCGTATCCGGTTTCGCCCGCTAGAGGTGGATTCATGAGCACATTCAAGATCGACTGCACCTGCCACAACTCGCTGGCCAACACGCAGCAGCGCATCCTTCAGGAGTTTAAAGTTACCCTCAACTTCTCTCGCCAACGTCACCCCTCCCTTGACGAGGCGAGTGAAGGTGGTAAACCCATTGCAACGACAGAAGTGCCGAGACCAGCTGCTGTACCAGCTTCGACAGAGAAGCTCCAGGCCGGAGAGCCTTCTCTGCTCCCCCGGCAGCGCAGGAGCTCTCGCATACGACGCGAGCAGGCGTCTCCGTACACTGTGACGGTTTTCGTCGATCGCCTGAATCTGGACATCACGTCGTCCTTCGTTCAAGTGGTGGCACGGCTTCACAGTGAGATTAAGAAGAGCGACAGGGCTGTCGAGCGGCCGCTGACCATCACCACGTTTCGCATCCACAATGACACGGCGGCTGAGCTTCTCCTGTACTGCCGATCAGCGGTCAGCGGAAGGATCCGTCACGAATTGGGGGAGGATCATCCAAGTCCATCAAAGTCGCTCAGGTGGATTGGGAAGCTGCGTGAGCTTGAGGCATGTCGTGTCTCTAATGCCCAACTTGTCGACCTGGCGTGCAACATCCCTTTGGACGACCACACTACGTACACATACCACGACGCACCCAAGCCAGCCACCGACCGATTGCCCGACCAGTCCCCGCACAGCTCCCAGGCTCGGGGTTTCATCCAAGAAGGGGTTAGCGCAACTGTCAATGCGACTTGGGCGGGCTTCAAGCAAGTGATACAAGACATATACCCCACGAAGTTATCACAAGGAAGCGCACCTCAAGCTACGACAAGAAGCGCCCTGCAACACAAAGTGAGGGGACAAAAATCTGGTCGACAAGTCGCAGACTTCTGCCGTGGGATGGAGGGACTGGATGGTTTTCGCATCGAGGAAGACGACCTGCTTCTATTCGGCACGTCAAGAGGAGCACAGAACTTCCTCGAGATCTTGCGAATGGAAGAAGGGCGGGCAAACGCTGGAATGAGGGAAAGCGTTGCTGACAGCGAGCTTGACGTGACGGTCGACAGTGCTCTGGAGAGACGGGCGCTCGGGTCGCGATCGCACACTTTGCACGGGGATCTGTTGACGGCTAGGAACTGGAAGCAAGTGGGACGGCTTCAGTATGACCACACACGGGCAAAAGCCTACAAGGTTGACAAGGTCCGCAAGAATTTTTGCTCTTATGCACTACATGAGTATTTGCGTGTCTTGCTTTGGGTACCCTTGCGAAGATCGGCTCCAAACTTCTTGTTGAGCCGCAAATCAATTGGGACGAGGGCATCTGCAATCTGTCTGTCGGGACGTGCATCCAGATTCAAAACTCGACGTCCCTCCCCTTTACTATCCACCTGCCAAGTCCACAGGGAAGAACGCGATTACTGGGGCTCCCAATCAATCCGATCGCCCTCGGTGAAATGGGCATGAGGTATCGATCGGCAGCTACATTAGCGTGCTTGTTAGAATCCTGCTGCTTCGATTCGTCAGGCAGCTTGGTCGATTCTTTAGCGAGGGGAGGACAAAAGCCGCAGATGGCGGTAGGAATATGCAGCTGTCTCGAAAGCACGCATATCCCTCCGGTAACTGTGTCTGACAGGTTTTCCTATTCTCAAGACATGCGCATCCATCGAGGTCCAGCCGTACAGCCGGAAGTCGATTCCTCTCCATTGGTTTTTCCTCGAGGTCGCTCCGCTGATCGCGCCCCACCTGGTCGGGCCGACGGGCGCGTGGGACCTATCTGCGGGAACATGGAGCACTCGGGCAAGCGTTACCGGAGTCCGGACGAAAATGGAGGGCGGCTTTGGGAAGTGGCTGACGAAGGCAAAGGCTATTGTCCCACTGCCGTTCGCTGCGCTGGCCAAGCTTATCAACAAAATCACAAGTCGGGGACAAGGGCACACGGAGCAAAACACGCAAGAAACTCTGCTTGTTCGTTCAGGTCCACATCTTGCATATCAGCGGGTGAGCGTCGCCGATTTCGTCTTGAAATACACTTGCAATCTCTCATTCTACGGTAAGCAATATGTCGGGCACAACTTGTCTACTGTGTATGTGGGGCATTGTTCCTTGCAGGTATGGTCGATGTTACTGAGATTCCGTCCAACGAAAGGAACAGGGTGAGCGAGCCTTCTGAGCCTTCATACAGCATGTTGGACTGAGTTGTCTTGGGTCTTTCAGATAGCGCACAAGTATGTCATCCGCATCGAACCTTTCATTGCCGTCAAGAATGCTCTTCCCTTTCCAATCACGCTGGAGGTACACAAAATGCATTTGTTTTCATCTTTCTCTTATTTCAATTGTTCCTTGATCAGTTGGCGCCTGTCAAGGATTCCAGCCGAGGCCAGCTCGCATCCACCACTGCCCTTCCACGCGTCAACGAAGAAGAATCCGTGGCGGGGACGGAGGAGCAGCCCGAGAAAGCCGTGACAGAGAAGCCACGGGCTGGACGGCATTCACTGCATATCACCTCTCCCCACTCCATGTCTCCGACGGCAAAGACCAGCAATGCGCCAATGCCCTCGTTTCTCATTCGGCGCAGCAACAGGATGAAGGGGCCCGACGTCTCCAAGGCACCGACGCATTTGAGAGACGCCATCTCACTGATCGGGGAGAGAAAGATCGTCAAGAAGCTGGGACCGGACCAGATATGGGTAAGCAACACTCGCTGTCGTATTCTGTCTGACTGTGCTTGTTTTGCTGTCGCAGGCCATTCCGTTGTCTCGCCGCCAAGCGTGGCTAAAAGTGTCAATTCATGGCGCCCCACTTGATGGCAATGCAGGGGTCCCTCAGCCCAAGATGGAAGCGACAGACGGCAAAGAGGATGAAGGAGATCATGTGCCTTCGCCCCCTCGTCGCAAGACGACAACAGACCTGTACGTGTCAGCCAAGACGTATCTGGTGATGCCCAAGTATGAGACACTGACGAGGACTCTTCCGCTGAGGCAGAGGGCGGGATCACTGGAAGGAGTGCTGCGAGATCACGATCGGCCGCTCATTGCGTGAGCGATGATGAAGCTGATGAGTCGCGGTCTGTGCTCTATTATGTGTCATCTGGTCAGGTACGAGTCTCGGGACAAAGTCGGCCGACAGCTGAAGCTGTGCTCTTACAAGCGTATGCAGATCGCCATGGAAGCTACACGGTAGGAACAGTCAACGATACCAGCAATGGGCGCACAGGCATTGTGTTGCTGTCTGTCGGCCTTGCAGTCGTGTCGTAACTCTTTACATGCCCTTCTTCATCGAGAACGTGACGGATGTTGCGCTGTCGTGCAACAGCATGGTCATTCCGCCACACTGCCGACTGTACACAACTGAAGAAGAAGTGCGGTGCGTTGACATCTGGAGAGAATCTGATGGTTGAGAATCGGCTTGTTTGGATGCAGGTCGGTGCGTGTGCGGGCGATGCAGTATGAGCAAGGCGAATCGTGTGTGCTCGGCAGCGGCTACAGCAGGAGTTTGGACCTCATCAATCCGACCCTCACGCGAGACACTCTTCAGCTCGTCATGAAACCACTTGCAGACGTCACTGTGGACACAGTCGCACAAGACAGTAAGCCACGGCCGTCCGCACCAGCTTCCAGATTCCTTGATTCTCTTATCTCTTCAGAGTCCGCCTCTTCTCATTCTCACGACGCCCAGTCGTCGAGCGACTCTGACGAGACAGCCGTCCCGCCTAAACGGTCGTTCGCTCCGCTCAAGCCAATTTCCGCCCTGAGCAAGAGGGTCTTCAGATCCAATCCGCACAGACATTCCAATCAGCAGCTGGCGCGCTACGCAGGCACTGTCTACAGCTTCCGGCCCCGGGAGGCATTGGCGAAGAGGAAAAGGCCTGGATCCGCTTTCGTGGCAGCAAAGAGGACGAAGCAGCCACGCAGACCGGTGGGACGGGAAGGGCGAGGATCGGAAGATGCAACAGTGGCCGTCGTACCGTCAGTCACAGTTGAGAAGGCAGAAGAGGCGATCGATCTTGATTTGGTGTCATGGCCGGCGGTTGATGCTGCTGTGGATCGGCTGATGGAGACCGGAGATTATCCGACAACCTTCATGGAGCATCACGGCAGCGAGACACGCGAACAGAGCATGGCCCCTTCAGCTGTGCCATCCGTCGGCGTCAGCCCTCTCTCTCTGCCATTCCCCCTCCCTCAGCCATCACCCACCATCCCGACTGTCCCTGACTCAGTCAAAGTGACGCTTGGCGTATGTGTGCGGTACGCCGATCCCCCGTTCTCCCTCAGCAAAGTGGTCAGCTTTATCGACCGTTTTGTCTTCCAGTCCAAGCTGCCCTTCCCTGTGCAAATATTCTCGGCCTCAGGGTCCGAATCCCCGGCCCCCGCCGGCGCGACACCGCGCCTACCTGCGTCAAAAAGCGTGCCTGCAGGCGGACATCACGCTCGGGTGGTCGTCAAGAGCACGTCGGAGCATGAGTCAGCCACAGACGCCAGACTGCAAGGACCCGAAGGATATCTGGCACCACACTCAAGTCTGGCATTCCATGGGGAGCTTGGTGGTGGCGGAAAAGTCTTCTTATATTCGCCGCAACTGCAGATGGCGACGCCGGCCTTCTCACTGCCCCCTCCGAGTGTGCCCGCATCGTTCCAGTTCAAATTCAATATGGAGGCATCGATCGTCGATGACCGGACCTTCAGAAGATACTGTGGCTCACTGATAAGTCGGCAAATGGGCGAGGCACAAGCAGAGGATGCGACAAAACGGACTCTCATACAGGTGGACATCGTCAGCGGAGAGTTTGGGAATCGGTCGGCGGTGCCGTATGTCTTCAACGGCTACTTTGTTGTCCTGTCTATCCCACTCTACCCGACCTTCAAACTCAGAAACCTCACAGAGTAAGTGCGGCAGTTGGTGCTTTGCTTCTGTCACGCACATCCATATGTCTCGATTGTGTCTTCAGTTACGCTCTCTCGTTCTCCACGGCCCGTTCCGATCCGCCCCCCAGCGAGCGGGTCTTCGACCTACCTGGCAGGAGCAGCGTCGTTCTCACACCCGAAGACGAGCTGGACGAGCGCAAGACCAGGCTACACGCGAGCAAGGCAAAGGTGGCGCTGAGGGTCAAGGATTGCAACAAGAAAGTCAAGTGGGAGTTCTTCTCGCTGGTCACCGTCGAGGAGCATGTCTCTATCCTGGACTTTGACCTGCCGAGTGCCAAGCGCATGCAGAGGAGGGGGGCAGGGTCTGCAGCGCGGCCACAGCATGCCGCCTCGGATTTGATCTACCCGCAAGGCCTGCATGGCGAGGACGCTTTGACAAACCGGAGTGGCTCGCTCATGAAGGACGACACGGAGGAAGAGGCAGGCCCGGACGAACTGTCGCCTGTCGCCAGCCCCGCTACCGCCGGGGCTCCGGGGCCTGGATGGATGTCCACGAGACGAACACACCTCAGCAGCTCTACTCTGACGGACGACAGGCCAGATAACGGCGTGACAGCTGCTGATGGGTCCCCGCAAGTCAAGCAACTTGCCACTCAAGGCTCGCTGCAAGAGCGGTCGAGCCGCTTTGCCCCCTCTCGGCCCGCAGCAGCCCAGCGCTTCGTTCCTCATATTCAATGGTCAGGCTCTCGCGACCTCTTTCCGTCACGCGCTCAGAAGCGCCGCAAAGGAAAGCTGTATGTGGCTTTGACGGTTGACGCCAAGGGCACTCGAGTGCTGACAGTGACCGAGACAAAAGAGGCTGCCGAGTGTATCAGAGACAGACAGAAAGCGGTCGGCGCCAATCATGTTGACCAAGATGATGATGACAAGGAGACAATGGGGAGACAAAGGGCGCACAAGTTGATGGGCTCGGTCAAGGTGTCGAAGGTCACTGTGGCCTGGATACATCAGCACGAAGAAGTGCGCCAGACAAAAAGACATCGTTTGAGAGTCCTTCATGCTATGTACATTTTCTTTCTGCCACACAGGTCTTGACAGCCCACATTCAGGACATGTCTCTCTCTTTCACCCTGATCACATCCGCCGGTCGCTCAACAGTGAAGCGTCTCACCCTACCTCCGCTTCCGTCAGCACCAAGCGAGGCGCCCCGGGGTCCCTCCCCTTCCCCACCTGGCATCCGGGGCGACTCGCTTGAGTTGGAGTTTTCCTTCTCGAATCTCCATCTGGACCACTTTGTGCCTGGGGACTTGCCCGTGATATTGCACCGTCAGTTGCCTAACGAGATCCCCGTTCTGCTGGCTTGGCGGCAGAGAGTCAATGAAGCCAGCCATTTCTTTTTCTTGCGCTTCAAGAAAGAGCTCGTGGATGCAACGAGGGCACCCACATATGAGAATGTGGAGGTCCAGATCGCCCCTTTCGGTCTGAATGTCGAGATGGGTGTGGTAATGCACCTCTTGTCCCTCATGCAGCGGGAGACACGGCAACTGCTGGACTACACCGCAGTCGCCGACACTGACACTGTTCCATCCCTTCAGCAACCCCCCACACCAGACACCATCTTGCCGGCATTCAGTACAACGTCTCTGCCAAAGCCTGGCACGAGTCCGACAAGCGAGACGACGTCCCTGTCCTTTCGTCGCGACGAAAGGAGGGAGGCCAAGGGCCCCATGGGAGGGGTGCCACTGCGGTGTCCTGCGTCGAGGGCTTTTGATGACGTCACTGTCGTCATGGGCCAGATGATCGCCATGCCAAGGCCCAAGTAAGCGGCGCTTTCGAACAGGCAGGAGAGTATCTATGTCTGGCGTGTCGTACTCGTGCAGGCGCCTAGAGATCGGTCAGGCCTACTCTCGTCCGGTCTACGTCAAGGAACTGCAGATTCATTCAATCCAAGTGCGGTGCACCATCCGCTCCTCCGACAGGCGGCTGCTTACTTCCACCCGTTCCGCCAAGGGCAACGCAGTCAAGGCCTCAGGTGCAGCCATTGCGCGAACGGTCAAGAAAGCAGCTGACACGCTACCGACCGGGAGAGGACGGGCGAAACAGCTGGCAGAAAAAGGGGCCGGGATGCCTGCCCACAGCCCCACTTTGGGTGTTGGGGCATCGAAAGCCGCACGTCACCATCTGCAGGCGATGGGTGGGGGGTCTGGGCCCGGGGAGGGATTCACAGGGTCGGCATGGCAAATTCTGCAATTGCTGGACGCGTTGCCGGTGGACACGCCCAACATGGCCATCTATTTCAGACAGGAGAGGAGGTTCCATGTCGTGGCGCCGTGGGGGGTCATCTCGCAGAAACTGAGCAATGCCTACTTCCAGCAGGTAAACAGAACCCCTAAAGCAGCGTCTTTTGAAAATCTCTATGTCACCGCTGGTCAGATGGTCCGCAATTCGCTGCCCACCGTGGGATTTGGATCGTTCTTGGCTGTGGTGAAGGGCCTGATTGATGGGGTGATCGCACTATTTGTCGAGCCGTACGTGGCGTGGCGAGCACACCCGAATTGCTCCATGGAATGCGTCGACAGCGTCATTGGGGGCCTCAACAATGGATTCTACAAGTAACGGAGACTTGGGATACCCTCGCTTCACCCCACCCTCTGTCTCTGCTGTCTCTGTCCCAGGTTCACCACTCACGTTATCGGCGGTGTGTTCCAGAGTTTGTTCACCTTCTTCAATGCTCTTCACAAGATGTTGGGCGGGTCACGACCGCGTGCCGACGGCTTCCTGGACGGCCTGTGGAAGGGCCTCAGCGGTTTTGTTCGGGACACCTTAGTCACGCCATGGAAGGACTTGATCCAGTGGCCACTCGATGCGATATACAGGTGGAGACACAATACAACGTGCATTGCCCGACGACATGCTGACCCTCGTGTGTCGTTCGCTCCTTGCTCAGTGGCGAGGGCCATACAATTGCCTTCTTGCTGCTCGTCTGGTGTGTCTTCCGCTGTGCCATCTCGCCCATTTTCGGATCGCTTAACTTCGCCGCCTCCGTGTGTGAGGGCATTTCCAACGTTTTGTTGGGCGAGGCCAGCCAGTTCACACGGTACCAGGAGCAGCGGCACTCGGGCGAACGCCGCCTGAATGACGGAGGGATGGTTTACTTGGAGCAGTCGGATGTGGAAGCTGAGCAAGGACGCGGGTTGGGGATGGGGGCTGGGTTTGGCCATGATGCCGATGCGACTGCGCCTGCAGGGATGCGCAGGGAGCAGTGAGGGGGAATGACGGGTGGTTTCTCATCGCAGATTTGTGAATGCAGTGTCTCCTGTCGGCTGACGAGCTGACAGGAGGTTTTGTCCATGTCGACGTGAATGTGAATGTGCCCTCCAGTATGCCCAACATTTTCTGTGACCCTTCTTTGTTGTGTACACACACGTATTTTGACATCAATGTACACAAGAATCCATGGTATGCACATAGCCGTCGGACGCCCTGACTATTCCATATATATCCCCATCGTCTCTCTTTGTGTTTCCGCCCGTTTTTCTTCTCGCATCCCCTTGGGCGGAGGGCTGTCTGAGTGTCTTGCTCATGCCTTGACTTTCTCTCTCTCTCTCCTGCCTCGGCTGTCTATCCCCCTTGTTGGCTGTTCATGGCGTCCTTTTCTCTCGCCGTGCTCTCACACTCCCCGGACACAGACGAGTCCTCCACGTTTGTGTCGGCGCTGCTCTGCCTCCTATCGCTGCTGTCTTCTGCCCTTTTTGTGTTTGCCCTCTTGCTTTCCATTGTCTTGATGAGACCGAACCAGAAGGCGCCGCCGGCAGAAAGAAAAACACCGGCCACATACCTGCCGGCGCGTGTGGACATATGTCAAGTGTGTGAGACACGTACGTCAACACGTGTAATTTAAATGGACTCTGTCTATTTGTTGTATGTATCTTTGAACGTACCCGACACTGAGGGTGACATCAGGGAACAGAAACACGCCCAAGACGTCGGCAGCGATGGACTTCAGGTTGCTGGTGACGGTGACAGACAGGGGGCTCGTGTACCGACATGCGAGCATGTTGCTGAAGTTGAGTAGGGCTGCAAGCGTCGAGGAGGAGAAGAGGCACAGCTGAAAGCCAGCGTCGGTCCAGAGAGGCCCAAACCGCCAGGCATGGAGCAAATCGCCTCCGACGAGTGACCAGACGAAGAGTGGTGGAAGGGATAAGAGCGACTGGTACATGAGCAAGCTGATGATGTTCTCTCTTCTGCCCGCTTGGGACGTCAGGTCGGCCTTCATTTGTACTTGATAACCTGAGAAGGACACAGACAGACAAACACCCAAGTCGCCGTGTGCGTCTATGGCCTGCTCGTCACGTACCGGCAGCGAAGAAGTTGCAGCCCATCGCAAGGGCGCACCCGATGGCGACAAAGTGAAGGTCATACCATGAAGCAAGTCCAGCGCCAATCACTTGCATGACGACAGACATGAAGATGAGTGTTGATGGGATCCACCCGAACCAGCACCACTCCGCCACCACCACGACGAGTGTCCCAGAGCTGCACACCCGAACAAGCCAGCAGTGCATCCATCTACCAAGCGGCACAACCCGCGTGAACTCCCCTGCCCGGCCCACCGTAGGATGGCACTGTTTGTGGGCACGTTGAGATGCGAGAGTGAGCCAAGCGAGGTGAGAATGCGGCCGAGGTTGAACACGGAGAGAGGCATGAGCTGCCACGCTCTCCTCAGCGTCAGTTGAGGGTAGTCGACGACGTGAATCGCTCTCGCGACTAGCACGATACCAACCGTCACAAGCGTCTGCACTAGCAATAGGACAGTCACGAATCTGACCCACAATCAACACAGACAGACAGACAGACACAATATAATCGCCACCAGTGGTTCATTGCCTTGCCGTGTGTTCTCCTCGCTTTGTCACCTGAAATGGTACGTTGACAAGACGGTCTTGTTGAACAGAGTAATGCTCAGCGAGACCAAGAAGTAGAGCAGACAGGACAAGAAGCCTTCCATTGCAGCGAGCGACGGCAGCCCGAAAGGGCCTCTCTCCTCCGATGGCCTCGGCTCATGGTAGTAGGGCAGAGGGCGGTGCAACAGCCACACTCTCGGCTCTTTCGCCTTCAGCTGAGCATCACTGCCCACCTCTTGCCGTGCAATAAGAGGGTCCGTCTCGGTGAAACTCATTCTGCTGTCCTTGCCAGTCTGACGATGAGACGGTCTCAGCATGACGCTGTTGCCTCAACTGGCTCTCCAAGGCTTTCCCTTTGAGTTATGAAGATCTGCGAGCCTCTAGCTCGCATCTTTGGCAAGGGAATTTCAGCGCGAGGCAGGCCGAGCCAGGCTTCCTAAGTCACATCAGGCTGGCGGGTACGCTGATCTTCAAATCAGGGCCCCCGATCTGCAGGCAAATCGGAGGTTGTTTCCCCTGGGGCTGCCGGAGAGGGACGAGGCGAGTTGACCACGGCTCAAAGAGACGGTCGTGCGGCGGGAGGTGAGTTGCCCCCTCGGCGGCTGGTTACTGCTGGTGCAGCAGCCTCGCTCGCGTCAGCAGGGCGCGTGGTGTCTTTTGTTGCGTTGGGGAGCGAGGCCAAGGCATGGGGAACTGCGCGTGTCCGCGAGGCCTCGCGGGGGACCTCGTCGATGAGCCCGTCCACCCCGAGGTGCGCAAAGTCAAGACAACCACAGCGCACACACACACGCGCTCTTGTCTGAGATGATCTGTTGAATGTGTGTCTGTGGGTGGTGTTTTCGTCAGGTTGAGGCGATGAAGTCGGCTCGAGGGGCCGACGGCGCACTGATGTCTGGTCGGCTGAATGGAGGTCCGTTGAGTGGCAATCACACGCCGGTGGGCAGCGCCACCCACGGCACGAGCGGCCCGCGGGTGTTCAAGGAGATGACCTTCGACAACGGGGCCGTCTACAAGGGACAGTGGCTCGCTGACCCAAATGTGGTGCCGATACACGCACCCACACGCCATGCGTGACTGCTTCTCTCTCTCTCCGTGTGTGTGTGTGTGTCGTGTGGTTGCTTCATTCAGGGTGACCTTCGTGATGGTTTTGGTGTCCAGACGTGGGCTGACGGGGCCATGTACGAAGGGCAGTGGGCCAACGACAAGGCACAGGGACACGGCAAATTCGTTCACGGTGGGTAACTCACACGCAGGCAGGGCACACAAGTAGGTAGAAAACGTTCCCACAGCCGACCCGACCTCTCCCTGCCTGCCGTTGTTTGGTGGGTCTGGTCTGATGGTTAAATCGCTCAGTTGATGGTGACGTGTATGAGGGGGAGTGGTTTGAAGACAAGGCACACGGATACGGGCTCTACCAACACGCAGACGGATCCAAGTATGTCATTCATGTACACAACACACCTGTATTGTATTGCTGACTGATGTGTCGCCTCCCTAGGTACGAGGGTCAGTGGCAATCGGACAAGCAGCACGGGAGAGGCGTTGAGGAGTGGCCAGACGGCGCCAAGTACCAGGGGCAGTACTCGCACGGAAGGAAACACGGAGAGGGCACCTTCTCATGGGCAGACGTGAGCAAAACACACACACGCACACGACACCCAGCAATCGACCATCCGTCCCTCCTCTGTGTGTTGGTGTGGGGGTTGTGTCCCTTAGGGTTCTGTGTATGACGGCGGCTTCTACGACAACGACATTGAGGGTAGGGGCGTGTACAAGTGGTCTGACGGTCGCAAGTACGACGGCCAGTGGAAGAAGAACCGCATGCACGGCGAGGGCACCTTCACGTGGGCCGACGGCAGATCCTACTCGGGACAGTACGAAAACGACCAAAAGGAGGGAATCGTAAGCAACCAATGACATGACACACGCAGTCACGGCCAGTGCGACCACCTTCCTCTCTTATGTTGCCTGCCTGCCTGCCTGCCTGTTCAGGGTACATTCACATGGCCGGATGGCCGCAAGTATGTGGGGGGATGGCGCAACGGCAAGCAGCACGGGAGAGGGATCTACACCACAGGTACATATGAAATGGACAAGAGGACACACGAGAGCGGCCGTCACGTTTTCCTCTCCCTGTTCAACATGTGCAGCCAAGGGCGAGAGGCGTGTGGGCGAGTGGGCCGAGGGCCGGAGGGTCAGGTGGTGCAAAGACGAGGACCCCGACCGCGTGCAGATCACGGCGGCCTCCATCAACGCCGAGGGCACGGGCGACCCCGAGAACGTCTCAACAGGGGGGGCCAACACCACAGTGGGCGGCGGCACCGACACGAGGAGCGACGTGCCATCCATGCAGGACACACACCACGTCAACTCATACGACACCAGACAGTGAGCATGTGGGACACGACAGACAGGGGGGCCTTTTTTGTCTGTCTGCCCGCGGGGCTCTAGCCGTCATGTCATGGCTGGAGCCGCATGGGGTGGCTGCCTGCCTGCCTCTCTGTCTGCCTGCCTGCCTGCCTGCCTGTCTATGTCACGTGTGTCAGTCATGTTTACACTAACATACACACACACGCATACACACACTGTTGCCCTTCCTTCTTTCCTTGCGTAGTGTGGCGGGAGAGAGTCAGCTCGCTCTCGCCTGCCTCTCTTGGTCTCGCCTGTTCGCTTATCGGGGGTGGGGGTCAGTCAGGGGCTACGTCTGTCTCACTTACTAGACCAAGCAACCAGTACGGAAATACATACACACATACACACATACACACATACACACGTGCATGCTTGAGTGTGTCGATTGCTGGCTGGATGGACGGCCGGCCTCCCTCGGTCGACGCTGCTGGCTGCCGCTGTGCTGGGACGAATTATGGGTAAGAAGGGCCGGTGGTGGGTGGGCGGGCGGGCTGTTGGTGTGTGCTGTGGGGCGGTAAAGGGTCCGACTGAGTGAGTGATTGGGTGGGTTCGCTGCAAGTTTATTTGGTGCGACGAGCGGCCTGGCAGACAGACATGTCCGTAGGCTGCCTTGTCTGTCTGTCTGTCTGCCTGTCTCTCTGTCTCTCTGTCGGCCGGTGAATGCAAGCTGTAATGACGGACGGATTATGAGTGTTTTGTAAGGCCGGTTTGGAAGGAATGGGGCTGGGGAGGGGAGGAAGGAAGGAAGAGAAGGCCGTCTCGTGTGTGGGAGGGAGGGTGGTTGGGATTGTCGCTCCTTTGGCATTTTGTACAATGCTCCTGCAGGTGCGTTTGTTGTTGCGTACGGAGCACGTCTGCCTGCTTGCATGGCTGTCTTGTCTGCTTGCCTTCCTACTCGCTCTCTCCTTTTCGGTGCTCAAGGTGCGTCGATTCAGGAATACACACACCCATACACACCGCCCACACACACACACACACATCCATCCATCCAGGCATTACACACCCACACGTTCCTTTCTCGCTTCCCTCACTGACTCACTACTCCCCCACTTGTGCCTTCCTGCTTTTGTATTTCTTTACGTGTGAATCTGTGTACCTAACACGTGGGTTGCTGCTGGCTGGCTGGCTGTTTGTGCATTTAAGGGTATACTCACTCGAATCGATCGAGATCGATCCGCCGCATGGCCGGCCGTGTGTTGTGTCGCTCGTGTCGGTGAATGCGATGCGACGTCATGTGATGTGATGTCATGTGATGTGATGTAATGAGTGGCGGATGGATGGATGCATGGGGCGGGGCGGGGGCGGGGCGGGGCGGGCTGCGAGTGTACAGTACGGTCAGCACACATCCCATCTGCCTCCCTGCCGGCCTGCGTACCGGTGATGGTGACTTTCTAGAATACGTGGCACTCACTCACTACTCGCTACCCTTGTGTGTGTCCTGCCTGCCTGCCTGGCTGCCTGGCTGCCTGCGCACACACGTCTCAACGCCACTGCATGCCCCCCACCCCCATCCATCCATCCATCCGTCCACTCAGCCAGACACGACACATACATGCAGCCACACTCCGCCATGTTCTGCTGGTTCGTAGTCCGTGACTCACTCACACAACCACACAACCCAGAAACGGGGCCGGGGCATGCACTCGTTTTACAGAGGGGGAGGGAGGGAGGATCGAGGGGTCCGGTGCTTATACAAGCGTGCGCGACAGCAATTTTGTCATGCTGTGAGCTGTGCTCTCGACATACACACACCATACACACAACACAGGGGCGGGGGAGAGAAAAGGGCGGGTGGTCGGGGGCTTGGGGAGCGACGCGATTCGGTGCGCAGTCATTTTTTAAGGTGCATGGCTGGCTATTTATCGCTCGATCCTTCGTGCCCTCCTGCCTCTTGTCGAATCCACCACTGCCCGCCTTCTCGTCGTCCCACGCTGTCACCTCTCTCTCTCTCTCGCCTCACCTCGCTGCCGTCTTGGTTGTGTTTGCACAGGTGAAGGCAGGATTGATTCACACACACGTCGCGAATACGTGAATGGCCGCGTACGCCTCGCCAGCTCTCTTCTTTTCCTCTCTTGCGCGCTGCTCTCACGTTGTCAGTCAGTCACGCTACCCACCCGTTGCCCCAACCCCGTTAGTGGTATGTAGATTTTGCAGCCCTTTTTTCCGTCCACACGCACTTTAAAGCGAGCAATGAATGCAAACATTTCCTGTTATCCTTTTTGTCATGTGCTCCACCATGACAACTGGGGGAGGGCAGGGCGGCCATGAGCGAACGGTCGAGCGAGGTGGGGAGGCGCAACCGATCCCACGTATGAACCTGCCTTGGCAAGCCTGCATACTTCATACTTTTTCACACTTGTCTTGCCTGCCTACGGTGATTTTTTTGGGTGTTTGGTGCGGATGGGATGCGGTGCTGGCCTGGGGCTGGTCAGAGGCAGAGGAGAGGGGAGGGAGAGGAGAATTGGGCCAGCGAGGTAGGTGGGTGGGTGTACCGCGCGGTTGCCGGATCTGCGTACCTATAGTGTATTTCATGGCACCTTCCCTCCCTCGGTCCCTCGGCCCCTCCCTGCCTCCCCCCACCCAGCCACCCACTCACTATGATTGCCCGCCCTGCAGAAATGTACTTGTCTACTCTACTCCTCCCTGGCTGGCTGACTCACTCACTCGGCTGCCTACGTACGTTTTGGTGTCCCTCGTGAATGAACCACGTAGGCACACGTGTACGTGTCTGTGTGTATGTGTGTGTCATCGCACTCACGTCTTCGGTCCGTGTGCCCCTTCCTGCCTATCTGCGTGCATCGTAATATTTCCCTTCAATACGTACAAGAGTCCTTACTGCGTGCTGCATTCATTCATTCATGGGTGGCCGGCCGGGTGGATGGACGGATGTGTGCTGCCTTCGTTGGTGGCGCCCAGATACGTCAAGTAAGTGTGCGTGTATCGGCCGATGGAGATGCGTCAATGGCCGGCCCCTAGCTGCCCGATGGTGAGTGAGTGGATCAGTGAGTGAGTGTATGTGACGTTTTCACTAGGTAATGGGTATATGTGACGGACGGACGGATAGACGTGTCATGATATGTGGAGTGTGTGTTGCCTGTTTGCATGCATGCCCGACGCTCACTACCTCTCTGAAAGTGCTGCAATTGAAGCAAACGTCCATATATATTGCCCAGATATGTTTCCTGGCATACGGCCAGCGTTGGCCCCCTGTCGCCCACGCGTCCACGAAGGGTTCCTGAGCTGTGATCTCCCCTGGGAATCCTTCGCAGGGGATTTCGGTTGAGAGGTCATCGTGAGCGATGGAGAACGTCATCGAGGAGGGTTCTCCTGAAGTGCACATCACCCCATCACCCCTCACGCCCGTCGCCGAGAGCTCAGAAAACGATGAGGAGAAACAGCAGGAAGAGAATGGTGACGCTTCGAGCCGCTCGCGCTCCCCATCCGCCGTCGCTTGTGCTGCCGACGAGGCAACATCCGTCCACGCAAGCCGACGGCCCACACTAGCGGTAACGACGTCGGATCAACCTCCGTCAATGTCAATCGTGACTTGCTTTGGCTTTATTGACTGATTTTTTTGTTTCAGGCTGCCCCAACGTCTGACAAGGTGGACGACCTCATATTGACCCACCTGAGGGGCAGCGAGCTGGCAGCGCCGGCAGATGAGTGAGAGCAAGGGCCGCCAAGGAGACGCCAGGGAGGAGATGGTGTTTGTGTGTTGTGCAGGTATGAGACACGGGTGAAGATGGGTGACGTGATCACACTCGTTAACGTCATGCTCTGGCTGATCATTGCCATGATTGGCGTGCTGGCGTTGTGCCACGGCTATGGAGAGAATCTCGTGTCTTTGGAGTCTACTCTTCAAGACGAAGAAGGTGCTTTATGGGAAACAATAGAAAGACACCAATGAGATGCATCCTTCTCCTTCCTTCCTCATTGCTGTCGCAGGTCGGCTGTTGTACCCATCCTTTGAAGCATTTCTCGAGGCCAATTCCCGCGTTAGCGACGATGAGGTTCGCCTTGTCAATCGCCGCGAGAATAAATCCCCTCGAAGGGGAACATTCACTCTGATTTGGGGACTGATTGTTCTAGCGAGTAAGCAAAAGGATCGCACAGGGATGACTCAACGAATGAAGTGGCAATTGTGTGTGTTCTTTGTGGTACTGCTGCAAGGCATCTGTCTCATTTGCTCTGTAGGAGACAAGAAGGCCCATATTAAGTCAGTGTGTGCTGTTGTGTATGCTTGTTTTGCAGCATACGCTTGGTTGGAGACGTACCATGAAACACTGGTGAGAAGAGATTTGAGGGACGTGAAGACCAGTTGTCACCTATTATTCTGACGTGGTGTGTGTAGGAACTTCAAAAAGTGGAATCAGGTGATTTGAGCCGGCTCCGCTTGCTTGTGTAATTCACACTCCATACAGCATGTCTTCTTCGTCTCTTCTCACTGGTGACACCGCAGCACAGGAGGCGTCTCGCTAAGCAGTTTAGAAGGAGACAGATCGCCAAATCGATCTCGTCTCACACGTCAGCCACCCACAATAAGGCCCCGTTGTTTTTCTCAATCGCAACACTAAAATCGGCATTCGACTCCTTCAAGCGCTTCTGCGTCGCTTCCTATCTGAAAGTGCAACGCTCATTTGGGACAGCTGGTCGCTTGTTCTGGCTTTCCTTTCTGACGGTTGAGACGATCACGCTGACAGCCCAGCACTACAGGTCAGTCCGCTACAGCGACAGATGGATACATCGAGGTACTGTGCGCGGCAATACGCAGGTTTGTGCTCTACAGCGGCTGGGACCTCACGACAGCGTCAGAGGTACGCAGAGGAAGAGGTGCACAGGCAAAGCATCCTTCTTGTGCTTCTGCAGGCGCCAGCGTTGCAAGCCTGGATATATTTGTCGCTCGGCACAATCATGGCTGTTCACGCTTTGCTGATCGTCATCTTTGTCTGGCTAAACAAACGAGGCATGGCCATCATCATGAGCGTCATCACCAGCATTACCTATGCGCTACACGCGATGAATACCTACACCGAAGGCAACTTCAGGCTCTCAGCATTCGTCGGCCTCAAGTCGAATTCAGTCCTCATCTTCCTCGTAAGCCTTCAATAAGTCAATCCACAATGCAGCCCGCCTCTTTTTGTATTTGTTCTCTCCGAACTATGTGGCCAGACCTCCGTCATGCCTCTGCTTACTGCTCTCTGGGGTCTACGGACATTGGATGCCCTTCTGATCCTCAAGGTGAGTAAACGGGGAAGGCATGACAGAGCTTCCGATGCACACATTGCATAGGACAGTCCGTCTCCTTCAGGGCTACTACGACTACCGCAAGAAAGCGGAGTACATGCGGAGGGTGCAATCGGCAAAGCGATTCCATTACCATCGGACGGAAGAGGCCTTCGAAGACATAGAGGAGCCGGAGCAACAAAACGGTTCGGAGCCAGAAGAGGAGGCTCACTCGCCAGAAGACGAGGAGACAGAGAGCCCAACACACAAGGAGCGCTCATCAAGAACGCCGTCAGGATCCAAACCTCCCCCACGGAGGACCAGCTTCGCTCCGGTCGTCATGGAGAGGCTTTATGATGTCTCTTTGTCGAGCTCGCCGAGTCATCGCAGCGAGGCAGAGGCAGATGTGCGCATCATCAGAGAAGACGAGCTTTTCGATGGCGCGTCGCCGGAGGTTGAGCTCGAGAGTGCCGTGAAAGAGCCGCATGAAAACACTGATGTCTCGCCTGCCAAGAATACCGCTCGACGCTTGTCGTTTTCGACCCGAGTTGCTGCGACACAGGATTTCACCTCACCCGTCATCGACCAACAAGACCTGTCGCCATTGACAGGGCGGCATTCGTCATCGCCAAGTCGCAGGACATTCACGTTTGGGAAACGAGAATCGAATGCAGGGAGGAGAGAATCGAATACCGAGGCCCGCACGCCCCGCACGCGCCAATCAATCGTCCAAGCAGGCAGGCGGAGGAGCTCCTTACTCGCGGGCCTGGCGAATGTGCGAAATAAGGTATGCAACCAACAGCTGCAGGCCATAAGCAATCCATGATCATGGTTGTTGTGCATTGAATCCCGATCTTCAGATCGTCCCGGAGCGTCTGGTGTCGCAACTGTCAATCATTACCGGCATCGATCATGAAATCAACGAGGTGATCGACTCCGATGCAGAGTCGCCAGATGCGGAGTCGCCAGAATCAGCAACTACCACAGCCCCCATTGATGGCGTGAGGAGGATCAGGTCCATGCAATCGAGGAGAGTGTCACAGAATCCGCCATCTGCGGACGATAAGAACACAACTGAGAAAGACGCATCTGGCGAAGACACGACTACACCAGAGACAGCAGAGACACCAGATGCCAGCCCTATGAGACGCCGACTGACTCCCCCAGCTATACCAGCGATAGGTAATCAGGAGCGCACCCATGCACAGACTGATAGATTCGTTCATTATTCGGTCAGCGAGTGGGGAGATCCCGCTTCCCCCTCAGAGATCGACAACGAAAGGCGTGAGGATTGGCCCTCTCCCATCTCGACAACGAATGAGCATCTTGAGTACCTTCTTTCGCCCACCTCGCGCGCTGAGTACAATGACGGATGGAGAGGAGGAGACTAAAGGGACTCCAGTCTGGTCTATCCAAGGTATCTTTGGCTAGGAAAGTGATTCACCTCCTCGTGTACCTCACCTTCCCTTTGTTGTCCGTCAGCTCTCATTACGAGCGCGAGTGTGCGCACATCCAGCATATTGAGCGTGGCTGCGCGCCGCTTCACGCACAGGGACTGGATAGCATATGACCGCAGCCTGGCTTTCCGCTTGTCAATCGTGAGCAAGACATGACGTTACTGACAGCATGTCTGTCTACGTTTGCCTACACGTAGATATGGTGTATTCTTTGTTGGAGCGTCTGGATCTTCTCCATTTGTCAACGCACCAGAGCATCATGGGTGTGTGCTGAAATTCGAGGCTGGCATCTCTGCGGCTGGCGTACTTTTCCCTCATTTGGCAACACGTTCCGGACAGGTACCGACCCATCCTCGTCCCTCTCTGACCGTGTCTCTTACACCGCCTGTGTGCTGTCCGTGTGGGCTGGAGCCAGACTGGCATCCATGTAATTGCAGGTCAGTCGGTCTTTGTCTTTTGCGGCCTGCCTGTCTGACGCACAAACAAAGCTGTTCTCCTTGCTGTTTTGCAGATATGTGTTGACGAGGAGGTTCGACGAGGGTGAGCTGCTCGATGAGTCAATTTCATCGTTTTCTACGCTAGAGGTGACCAGGAGGGCGAAAGGCCAAATGAGAATACAAAAGCAGTGCCATGTTTGTGCCTGGACAGGGGATCGGCATTGACTTCGCTCTGGATGGGCCACTCAACATGAATGTGAGCCCAGGCTGTCAGATCTACTGGCTTGGCGATCTCACCGATCCTTTCCTGTGCTCATCAGGTTACGCGCATCAATCCTGACGTGCATAAGCAATTGTTCTTAAAGGCAATCATCTGGCATAGGACTGGAGTGACCGAGCTGCCGCCCGAATGGTGTGACACTCAGCTTACCTTCACGTATGCAGGTAACAGATACGGCACATATGGCTGAGTGGCTGGCTCATGGCAATCAAATGTCCTTCAGCTGCCAACAAGATAGAGAAGATTCCAGACTGTGTGGGAAGAATGACTCACTTGCGTGAGCTTGACCTGAGGGGGAACGCATTGAAATCGATACCATACAGTAATTGAAAGAGAAGCCGAATAAATGGGCATCAAAGAATTGGAAAGCAAGAGTCGCTTCGGTGTCATTGTGATCCAGGCATTGCCGATATTGCCGTCAGAGATGACTTCAGACTTCGACTCTCACAGACTCCTGTCTGCTCGCCGGCGAACGACTGGAAACTGAATGATCCAGCGCACCCGCAAAAGGTAAAGATCGGTCGCATGTTTTGAGACGAGGGGTTCCACTCGAACAGCTCCCCCTTTCGTGTCTCCTCTCTTTGCAGTTCCTTGAAGCGGTACCGAGAACAGGCGAAAGACAACAAAGTGGAAGAAAAGTGTCAGCTTCCTTATTGCAAATCCGTGTCTCGCAGATGCGAAGGAGAAATCCCTGTCTCGCGTCGAACGGCATTGGCATGGACGGCATAGGACAAGACCCGAGTGGTCTTCTATCTTCTAGCTATATGGGATTGGCGACAGTGACGTTTCAACCCGGAGGACAATGAGTCACTATTGTGCTGTCTGATACACCAGGGTGGGGAACAGGCTGTACCGTAGAGTAGGTGCGAGAGATGTGGTGAGGTGCCTACGTCAGCCAACCATGACATCTCTCTTTTTCTGAGACACTGGACAATAGGACATTCGCAGAAGACCTTGTTTTTTGTGCTCCTCCAGGCAGAGTTTTGTCTTCTGTTTTGTTGCCTGTCGCCTTGAAAGTGTGTTCTCTCCGAAACCTGCATTCCATGATTTATACGTACACTTACACATCTTGTGCCGCATACATATTTTTATGCCGAGTCGATCAAGCATGCACCCTCATTTGCAGCGCCCCTCTTTGTTCTGTCAGCCACTGCCTGTCCATGGAGGTCATAAATGGGTCACACAACCTCTCAACATCCGTCCACGCGTCAACGCTCCTACCAACAAAACAGCCACGTCGAGAGCTTCCAACACAAGGAAGAGCAAAGAGACCATTGGGTGGATTACCATTGGTCGGTGTACGATTTGACCATGTTCATGTCTTTGTCGCCCTCCAATTCCACAACCTTGTCAAAGGACTCGAACCCGCTCGTGAGCGTCTCTGCCAAAAGTAAAGGAAACAATTGTTGATGCGCTTTGTGTCCAAACACTCTGCGCTTACCGCAGACAGCGTAAACATTGGCCATAAGGGGGCTTTCGACTGCAGGCCTTTCGCCCATCTTGCGCACGGTCTCGAGCAGCATCTGCACGGCCCCACGCGGCGAGTGGATAGTGGCTGAGTTCCACTGAACAAACTGAAGAGCGCAGTCCTCACTGACACATCAAAAAGACAAGTGAAGCGTGGCATTTTTATGAGACGCGTATTTGTGTGCGAAAATACACATACTTGGTAGCGATTACGTCCGCCAGGGTCCGCAATAGCATGTCGCATACGGCCGACTGGTTGTTCAGAGACGACTGCTCAGAGAGGCGGCAATCGATTCAACAGCGAACAATGGAAAATGGAGACGTCAGTTCACCTCTAGCATGTCCAGGAGGATATACACGACACCGTCCGTCACGAAACGCTCCTCATTCCGCCTGCATCACCGTACAGGCGACCCATATCAATGTGCGCAGTGCCGTTCCGGTTGGCCTTACTTGTGGCCGACCACCACTTTTCTGACACACTCGAGGACGCTGGCGAGAGAGACAGGAGAGAAGACATGCCTCTGTGTGAGGCCCAGGGATATAAAGAATACCTGAGCAGGAACAGTTCCTCTGTGCGCTTGAGCTGCCCGCCTTTCGACAGGCCTCGCAGTATCAATGACCTGGGAGACACAGACATGCAGGCGTACACACACCACGGGACTTCCTTACTTGAGCATCGCTGAGATGATTTGCAGCCCGCCTAAATGCCTGAAGTGGTTCTTCATGGCCGTGTTGTCGGAGCACACACACGACACGACAAAGAGCGCAATCGTGGAGCAGCGCATATCCCTCTCATCCAACTCCCCTGGCACAAAGAATACCCAAAAACGGTAATCACTCGCAAGTTGATGGGTGAGTACCAGTGCATGTAGCCAGTGTAGTCGTCAACGTGTCGAGGATCTCAGAGTCTGACTACACCGACAGGGGCGAGTGGCACTCCCACGCCCCTCTTTCATATGTGTGTTCTACCTCTGCTCGTAAGATCCTCCGGGCGCGCTTTGCCGACCTGCAAACACGCATTTGTTCTTAACATACGCACAATCAGGTCAGGTGTGCTCACCGCAGAGAGGAACGTGAGCACTCTTTCAATGTCTGTGTGTCCGCTGGCGAGCTGCTTCAGCGCCTCACCCACGAGCGACTTCATGGATGCTTGCAACTCGCAATTGGAGGAGAGCAGGCCGCTGAGACATGCCCACGCAGCCCCCGGCGCAGTGCCTTTGGCGATGAGAGATGACAGGGCCTCCGTCAGATGCTGTCGGGTGGACGGAAAGTGGGCACACGCACCTGCACAAATGGAAAGCGACGACATGGCATGATGCATGAAGGGGTGTGCAATCGTACCCCTCACCCGAACACTCGATGACAATCAGCCATATCAAATCTGCAGAAGGAAAGCACGGGGTACTGACAGACAAAGTGCGGACAGACATGTATATTCGACTGACCATGAGTTTCCTTCTTCAACTCCTCTTCACTGGCTTCAAAGGGCAGACTGATAAGAGAGACACAGGATACACACGCGAGACAGAGCCACTTCGTTCTCTTGCTCACCCGTCAACAAGCATATTCAGCAGCAGAGAGACCAGTGAGGACTGCGCCACCTTGTCTGCCCTCATCTTGGCGACAAGCAGCGCGATGAGTAGGATTTCATTCCTGAACACCTTTGCCGGACTGCCCTTGAGCTCTCTTAGCCGGTGCAAGATGCCCTTAATGGAATGGAGGGACGCACTCTCACTCAGCACCTACAAGATTAACGCACAGAGACGCGAGTTTACTCTCACAAGCGGGACACACGTGCGGGCTGACCTTGCTGGCTGCTTGCTCCTCCAAAACAATCACATTCCATGTTGCCTCGAGCGCGATCTGAGCCACTCCCTCCGTAGACCCGGCCTCACACATATCCCGGATCAGGACAAGAAGCTTCTGAAGGACGTCCTGCAGCCAGAGGGACAGAAGATGGCAAGGTGTCAGCCAAAATGAAGCAAAACCCGCACCCCTTCGGTCATCCGCTGACAGAAAACCCTGCAAGAGAGGCGCACACAGTGTATATGCAGGACTCAGTGGCCCTATCAGGTCTTACTTGCTGGTGGACAGCGCCCGCAACACTTCCAGCACCTCCGTCAAGACACATCGGGGGGCCTGCCGATCGAGCTCACGAGACGCCTGGCACGAACACGCAAAGAGCCATCGGCCTTCCTCTCACCCACTTTCGATCGCCGCTTGCCCACCCATTGGATGACATCTGTCTTTTCGAACGCTTGGAAGGCCTGGGCACGCTTCAGCGCCTTCTTTCCGTCAGGTGTCTCGCCACCAGGAGACAGCGCCAGCGAGGCATATAGCCGCCAAATCGCATGGTAGGCCTCCTCGTCAAGAGGTCGCCTTTCAATACCGCTCTTCGCGGTGCCCCTGCAAGGCATAAGGAGACGCGCGCTGTACGAATGCACATCTGCACGTGCGTCCTCTGTCCTTACAGTTCCAACGGGAGGGCGACCGTCGTCAAATAAGACGGAACAGCGGCGCTGTGAAGCCATACATCGTCAAAGCATCAGAGCGTATGTCTTCATTGGCTCTGCTCGTGTACCCATGAGTCAGCGGATCTGAGACAAAATGGCGTCCATAGTGCCACAGGGGTTTGGGGAATCAATCGATTGTGTGTGAATGTTCGCACCTGATGCTTTTTCCAACAGGAGGGCCCTGCCTGACACCGCGATGATCCGCAGCAGCACCGGCAGCCAGCAGGCCTGCCCGCCCAAGTATCGCGATATAACAACCTCCAGTAGGCGCACGGCGGCTGTAAGATGACTCAGCGGCAGACCTGCAGTGCCACCCAACCAAACCGCACACATGGGCCCGAAGTCATGGTTGCCATTCGTTCCTTACCTCCTCTTGTTTCGAGGTAGACGGCGTACCGCGTCACAGATTCTACATGCCTGCAGCGTAAGAGACCTCGAGTCAAGTAACGCACCCAACAGCCCAAGTGTCCTCGTACCTGTCGACGGTGCTTGCGGTATATTTCTCTGTCAGCAGTTGATAAAGGAGATCCAGGTCGGGCGGCTGCTGGTGTGTGTGTTTCCTCTCGTCGGACATGTCGCTTCCCCCAAAAAGAGACTGGGGGCGACTTGGGGGGCTCAAGCGCGCTCCGGCCTTCAAGTTACTACTAAGTTGGAGCATAGAGTTCCTCGCGATGACTTGGGACCCCACACAGCTTGCTCAGCAGTGGCGACGAAGAATCATGCGAGAGGAGACCGCACTGTTGCATCGGCTGAGCCATCCTGTGGGAAGAAAGTAGGCGACCGCGACACATCACAGACCACTGCCTGTTCTGCCTCTGATGTTGCTCTGCCGTTTCAGTGAGGGGAGCAGCTTTATGGGCTTTCGCGGCAGCACGTTGAATCCCTTCGAAGTCACGAGTTTCTCTGTCCCCCAAGAGGACAAGCCGAAGACGCCCTCGAGCGTCAACCGGCACGCCCGGACGGCCTCATCAGTGACTTCTGGGGAGCAGAGCAGCAACGTCTCGTCTAGAAGGTGAGGGGCAGCCTTGGCACTGCTGTCGGTGCACAACTTACTTCACCCTTTCTGCACTGCAGACAGTCGTCCATGGCTGCCTTGCGCCAGGAGTTGGAAGAAGAGAGACAGAAGCGAAAGGTGAGCCCCAAGGGTCGACAGCCTGCAGGCTCCCAAACCCCCTTCCCTTCCCCTCTTTGGGTGGGTCATGCAGAGACTGGAAGAGGAACTCAATCAGCTAAAGACCGTCATCGAGGAGAAATTGGTGCCAACGAGACCAGCCGAAGTGGCGGACGGCGACCCCAAAGCGGCAACAGAAAAGGAATAGGCGCTTTCTTCTCTAGCTTGGCTATCTATCTGCCTTATTCAGCGCGTATCTATCTACTGAATCATGCTTCCCCTCGGTGAGTATGTTTATCCACTGTGTGGGGTGGGGTACTTTATCTTATTGGTGGGAGGGAGGGGGGGCCTAAGCGGCTCTACGCGCCATCGATGCGTACGTGTATTCGATTCATTCATGTATCCATCTCCTAGAGACGTTAATGGCGAAGTCGGCATGCAGACAAAGGGAAGTCAACCAACTGTGGACACGCATGTATGTCAAAAGACACTGTGGCTCGTCTAGGGAGGAACCTGGCAAAAATGTGCATGCACACGCCTGGAGCTGAGCCCCACGAGAGGCTGCTCGCACCACCCCACCCGAGTAGGGAGCGATAGGCAGCTAGCTGCATCACCTTGTGCACAAAATCGGCACGTCAAAAAGAGTGCACCACACACACACATGCAGCAGCACTTTGTGGCCTACGACAGCTACAAATCAACACGATCAACTACGAAGAGACACGAGTCAGCTACGCAGTCTCTCTCATTCCGGGTTGGCCTCTTGGAACTCCTGCAGACGCCAAAGACGTGCCCAGTTATGCTTCCATCACCACGTCGGGTGACGTGGCTCTCTCACTTACCCTCATGAACGAGACGAGCGTCTCCACTCCCTCGATGGGCATGCCGTTGTAGAGCGAGGCTCGACAGCCACCCACCGTGCGGTGCCCCGACTGCACGCATACCACACTCATGGGCAGTCTCTTCCTCGCAATGCGCGTGCGTTGTCTGCTCGTCGTGTCTTACGAGTGTGACGAGTTTGTGCTTCTTTCCCTCTTCGAGGAACTTCTTCTCCAGGGCCTCGTCGCCGCGACCAACCTGACGGAGCCGAAAGCAAATGGACACACCTTTGGTGGACATGTGTGTAGCTTACCCTGAATGGGATGTTCATGTTTGAGCGGCAGTCCTTGGCAGTGGGGCAGATGAAGTAACCTGCATAACACCAGCATGGGTGAGTGAGCAGCACATACGACCAGCAGTGATTGTGTGGGCGTGGCGTACCATCTGAGCCGTCGATGGCGTCATAGAGGATCTTGGCCTTCTTCTCGCTCCATTCCTTCCAGAATGCCAGCCCGCCCTTCTCCTTCAGATACTTCGCCATCAGACCTGGCACACATGCCACACCAGCAGCAGGGGATGGAGTGCAGTGCACCTGCCGTTCATCTCAGCTCACCGACGACGTAGATGGACCAGCAGGGCGGCGTGTTGTACATCGACTCGCTGTCAGACATCGTCTTGTAGTCCAACAGAGTCGGGCAGATGGACTTGGCGTTGCCTGGACAACCGACCGACACGAGCCACATTGTGTGCGCAAGAGTGCGTCACTCACTCACTCACTCACCAAGGCATGCTTTGTCGGCGATGACGACTGCAGCGCCAGCAGGGCCCAGGTTCTTCTGGATGCCGGCTGATGGATGACACACGGAACCATCCAGTTCATGAAAGGAAAGCTGCTCATCGGTCGGTGCTCACTCACCATAGATGAGTGTGTGTTTGCTGACTTCGATGGGCTTGGAGCAGAAATTCGATGACATATCAGACACTGAACAGACAGACCATCGCAGGTCTAGACGCACAATGCAACGCAGCGTTGGTTGCTGACCGAGGGGCAGACCGACGTCGGGAGTCGACTTGAACTCCACGCCGTAGATCTGCACACACACACAGACAGATGCACTAAACATACTTCAGATCCGCCATTCCATTTCTGCTGCGCCGCCATCCTGACCGTCTCATTGGCGCAGTAATGCAGGTACGAGGCCTCTGCGAGCAAAACAAAAGGGGCAGTGCGAAGATGAGCGTCTTATCCAATGGCCCCATTGTGGGTGTGGTGTCTTGCGTACCTGGGTTGACTTTCCACTCTGACACTGGAGGGATGAAGGTGTAGTTGGACGACTTGGTGTCGCACACTGGCGGCCAGAAAGAAACCCAACAAAGCGAAAAAGAGGCGATGCTCTCTGTGGTGTACGGTGTCAGTTGTCAGTCACCTTTGTTGGCCTTGCCGTACTTCTGGCACTCCTTGAAGGCCTTGTCGCCCCAAGAACTGCACTCAGACGAACAGACAGTCGCCCGTGCACACCAAATGGCTTGCTCGTTGGTTACCCGGTGACGGCATAGTCAGCTGCATTGGACGGCTCCTTGAGCAGATTCAGAGGCACGGACGCAAACTGCGTCGTCGCTCCGCCCTGCAGAGGATAGGATGTTCACCGATATATGCGATGGATGCGGTGTCGTATTGATTGCACCATGCAGTGCAGCAGCCCAGCCCCCTTGTTTGTGTTTGAGCCCACTTACTTGCATGAAGAAGAGCGAGTGGGAGTCCGGCACTTGGAGGATGTCGCGCAGGTCGCTCACGGTCTGGTTGTAGATGGACACGAACTCCTTGCCGCGATGCGACTGCATACACGTGACACGCAACACGTGTGTGAATCAGGCAGACCGGACGGCAACGGCCTGGTGCACCAGCGTACCATTTCCATGACGCCCATGCCGGATCCGTTCCAGTTCATCATGTGGTCCTGGCACTCCTGCAGCACCTCCACAGGCAGCATGCAGGGACCTGAACCACACACACACCAGATGCGAAAGCAATGCATGAATCAGCACAGGCAGGCAGCTTGCAAGCGAGGCTGTTTCATGATGGATCTGTGCCTGTGCGCACCTGCAGAGAAGTTGAACAACCTCTCGTCCTTCACTGTGCCGTTCTGCATCTTGAGTGCGGGTCACACACGAATGAGACGAAATGAGTGCTTTTGATCAAAACGAAGGGATCTGAGTGTGACAGCCTGAATGAAGCAGCGGACGGCGGAGGGAAGACGGGAAAAGGGGCGACGGCGGTCTCCGAGCGAGCGGTTTCACGGAATGTCCCGCAGCTGCAAAAGAAGTGTTTGCAACGAAATGAAGCACCTCTTCGCAGATCTCTGCCACATGTTGATCTTCCTGCCGCTGATCTCACTGGCGCTCTCGGCCGTGTGCGATGCGTTTCGGAGCCCTGCTTCGCCTCTCAGTAGCTCACCAACACTGTCAAGACCACTGAGCAGACGAACGGCAAGGCGACTGAGCCCGCAGATGCTTACGAACATCTTTAAGCCATCGGTGGACGCTGCCTCGCTCAAGAGGGAGATTGGGAGGATAGCCAAAGGCAAGGACAACGGCATCAAAGTGACGCCGGTGAGCCAGTGAGAGGGAAAGAGCCACTGCACTGCAAAGGTGTGTGCACTCGCTGGCTGCATCTTGGTGGCCGCCTGTGTTGATGTGTGTGAGTGTGTGTCTTTCTTGGCAGGCGGAGAGGGAGAAGATCTTGTCGCTGGTGAAGCAGCTGGAGAGCTCATCGCCTATCAAGGCAGCAGCACAGTGAGGACGCTGGAAAGGAGCCGCGTGCATGGCATGAACGCAGCAGCTGGATGGGATGGGTGTGTTTCAATCAATCCATCAGGTCCAAGAGGCTGAATGGGTTGTGGAGGTTGGTGTACACGACGACGCCGGGCAGCAGTGCCGGCAAGCTGGGACCCTTCGTAGGAGATGTCACACAGGTGGGTGATCTGCGTGTCCATCCATCCATCCCTTCATCCATCCATCCCCAGCTCATAGTGCTGTTCGTTCACGTCGTGTGAATGTCTGTCCGTGTCTGTCGTGTTGGTTTGTGGCAGATGATCGACATGGACAGCGACGTGTACATCAACTACGTCGATATCGGCCCAGTGCAGGTGGGTCAAGAGACCTTCAAGCTTCACACATGGCTGGCTCCTCATCTTGTGTTTGTGCGATTGTCCTGTTCCTGCCTGCAGGCCTTTCTCGAGGCGTCGTGGGACGTGCTGGGGCCCAACAGGTGGCGCGTCAAGTTTCAGAATATTGGCTTTAGAGTGTTCGGCATACCCCTGGCCAAGAACGAGCTCAAGGTGAGGAGAGGAAAGAAAGATCGCAGTAACCTGATATGCCCAATCGTGTTTTGCTTCCTGTTGATGGCGCCTCCCCCCCCAGAATGTCGGCGACTGGCGGATGACATATCTGGATGATGACTACAGGATACTCTGGGCACGGGGATCGAGGCAGCAACCCGACGCCTCGGCCATGCCAGAGAATGTGTACGTCTTGCGGCGGGTCTCGTGACCGACAGAGTGGAGTGCTTTGGGGCGAGGAGGGAGGAAACGGAGGCCGACAGTTTTGATGGGTGTGGACGCCTCGAAGAGGCTGCTGTCGTCGATGAGACAACCTTTGTATGAGACAACCTTTGTCTTTTGGCGTGGGGATGTGACCATTTTGTCTGAGATTTGTGCATTCTGTGAGCATGATGATTCTGTGACCACCATGTGAAAAGACCTGGTGTGTGGTGCAAAATTCTGTTCTCGTGTCGGATGTGAAGCTGTTCGACATGAAAATTTCGGTTCACCCTGCAATCATGTCACGCAACTCTTGAGTTCTCCGAGTGCTCGTGGGGGCAACAGGCACTGAAGACCTTCGCGGCACTGAACTCAAGTATTGCAGATCCATGTGTCTCTTCCCTCCACTCTCTCCCCATCGTCAATGCTCCATGTGTGACCCACCAATGTGTTCATAAAACAATCACAGGCATCCAACAGGTGACTCTAAGAAAATCGCTCAGGGGAACCTATGCGACGAAAACCGACCAGATAGACAGACAGACAGACAGCCAGCCAGGCAGGCAGGCAGGCAGGCACTTTTGTGCGCCACTCAGGAGTCCCCCCACCCTTTCAGGCATTCTGCAGCTGCCCTCGCTTCGTAGAGGAGAGAAATCGCGAGGCAGGCAGGCAGGCAGTCAGGCATGCGAAACGACAGGTGCGTAGACGGACGGACGACTTGTGTGTACCGTAAGTATCTATCACTTCACCCTTCCCCTCTCGTCTGAGATGGGTTGCTGGGCGCGTGGCGGCGTCACACGTATAGCTAGATGTCCAAAATTGCACCAGCACATGGCATGCACGAACAGACGTAGCCATCCATTGCTTGCATTGGGAGCCATCTCGATGATCGCGTCAACGAGACAGGGCAGCAGCACCGCATATGGACCACCCAGACAAAGGCCTCGACATATCGATCTCGATCGGTCAGTCCAACTGTTCAAAATTAGTGGGCCGTCTGAGTTTGGTCCTTTGGAAAAAGCGGGAGTGAGGGGATCATTCCCGGCAGGCACCACAGACACCTTCACACGAACCAGCGACCCTTCCCCAGTTGACACAGATACAGACGCACGAGACGCACGACGGACGATGCTCCCTGCCCCACCAACCTTGTCCCCAATGCGATGGAATCTTGATACGAACTAGGGATGTGGCAAAAAAAGGTAAGGGGAGAGGGCGACCCCATACACACCACATCACTCACACGCAGCCACGAAACACACACCACACAATGACTGACTGACTGACATGGATGGAGAGGAGGTCGGGCTGGGAGAAGATAGTGGGGCTTGCGCCCTTAAAACGCCCATCTCCGCCCGCCCGGTTGCCGGCCCTTCCTTCCTTCCTCTCCTCCACCCCACCCGCCCACCCACCAAAGTGTCCGTCCAATTCATTCAATTCACCAACCAACGAAACTGGACCAAACCAGCACACATTTATACGTGCTGTCAGTCATCAAACGAACACACCCGTCTCTCTCCATATCAAAATCGCCAATCGCCCATCCATCCATCCATCCACTCACTCATCCATCCATCGGTCTGTGTGTCTGTCTGTCTAGCCCCTGATGCTCTTGGTGGCGGTGACGAGGTTTCGGAGCGATTCGATGACCTCGTCCCACTTGCGTGTCTTGAGGCCGCAGTCGGGGACGATCCAGATGCGGTCGAACTCGAGGCCGCTCTTCTTGATCATCTCCACCCGCTCCATCAGCTTGTCGGTCGGCGGGATCACAGGCGAGTGCACGTCGTAAATACCCGGCGCCACGTCGTGGTCGTAACCCTGCTCCACCAGGTACTGACGAGACGAGAGGGGAGGGAGAGGGAGGGACACACACAACACAACACAAGATAGTACACACACACGGGTGCGGTGCAAGCACTGGTGAGGGAGGGAGGGTCTGTCTCGCTGGCTCACCTTCAGGACGGCGTCGTCGGATCGCGAGTTTTCGATGGTGATTTGGTCGGCGTCGAGGTCCTTGATGGCCTGCATGACGTCCTCGAACTCCGAGTAGCAGAAATGGGTCACCACGTGGAGCTCGGGCTTGCACACGGTGGTCGACAGGCGGAAGGCCTTGACAGCCCAGTCCAGGTAGGCCGCCCAGCGGGCAGGCTTGATGGGCAGACCCTCGCGCAGGGCAGGCTCATCCACCTGGATCACGCAGCAACCTGATGCATCACATCAAACACACACACAGACACGGCCACATGCATACACAGGTGCATCAACACCGGCGCGGCTTCTCTTGCTGCCCACCGGCGGCCTCGAGGTCGGCGACTTCGTCTCTGAGTGCGTATCCGATCTGGAAGGCCTGCTCCTTGCGGGCGATGTCCTTGCGGGGGAATGACCAGTTCAAAATGGTCACTGGGCCCGTCAGCATGCCTTTGACGGGCTTGGTCGTGCAGTCCTGGGCCACCTGCAGACAGACAGACAACAGCGATGAGCCAACAGGGAGGGCTACTTGCCAGCCATTTTGGTTGGTGTGTGGTGTGGTGTATGTGTGGTGTGTGGGTGAGGGTGAGGGTGGGCTTACGATGAACTCCCTGACGGTCATGGGCTGGTTGCCCGTGCGGGCAACATCGCCGTGAATGATGGGCGGGCGGACGTAGCGGGAACCGTACGACTGCACCCATCTGCAGACAGATAAGGCAGGCCACACAGACAGAAAGACATACCATACCGTCCCTGTGTGCTCCTTGTGCCTCTTGTATGTGTCAGCTCCCTGCCTACCCGAGTTGAGTGAAGAGGAAGCCGTCCATGCGCTCGCCAAAGTACTCAACCATATCCGATCGCTCGGGCTCGCCGTGCACCAACACATCCAGACCGAGACCCTCCTGACAGACAGCACACACAAACGCACAGGCAGACAGCCGACACACATGTATCGCGATTGGCTTCGGCAGTGGGAGTGTGAGTGTGTGTGTGTGTGTACCTGGACTCCGATGCAGTAGGCGATGTACTGGTCGACGGCCCTCTGGTACTCCTCGCTCGACACCTCGCCCTTGCGGTACTTGAGACGGATCTTGCGCATGGCCGGCGTCTGAGGGAACGAACCTATCGTGCTCGTCGGCAGCTTCACGTTGCCCAACGTCGCCATCTGTACCAGTAGACCACAACACACACACACAGACAGGCACACATCAACACACATGGCGGTCTGCCTTCCCTCCCGTGGCCTATCCTATCTCCCACCTGCAAAGAACGACGCTCGGTGAAGGGCTTGCTCCTGTTGATCATGTCAGCGGGCGGCTCCTTGACATCGGCGTCCTGCACGGCGAACTCAACGCCGCCCTTGGCAGTGCCGGGTGCGGCAGTGGCGACGGCCTTGACGTCCTGGAGCTTCTGACGGGCGAAGGAGAGCCTGGCCTTGAGCGACGCGTCCACCTTGGTCTCATTCTCCACGTCATAGGGCACGTGCTGCAGGGAGGACGACGGCTGCACCGACACCTCCACGTTGGGGCCCACAGTGTCCTTGATCTCCTTGAGCATCTTGGACGCCAGGGACACGTCCTTCCACACCGACCGGCCGTCCACCACACCGGCGCCCAGCCGCCGGCCCTGCGGGAAGCCGTGCTTCTTGAGCAGGCTCATCGTGTCGCCGCGGGTGAAGTCGAGCGACACGGCCGTGACGCCGGGGAGCTTGACGGCCCAGGGGTACGCCTCGCCGATGTCGTCGTAGAAGGTGATCAGGTTGATGGGCACACCGACGGTGGCCAGCTGGGTGAAGACGCGCTCGTAGGTGGAGCGGAGGTCCTTGGCCTTGTCGAGGATGAGGGCGGGCTCGTTGATCTGCACCTCGGCCACGCCGAGCGCCTTGAGCTCCTTGAGCAGGTCGATGTACAGGGGGATGAGCTTGTCCACCACCTGGTCGAGGGTCACGCCCTTGAGCGAGGCCTTGTCGACCACAGTGATGGGACCGATGATCTCGGCGCCCACTTTGTCGCCGCCGATCTTGGCGACGGCCTTCTTGATCATCTCGATGTAGTCGGCCCAGTCCTTCTTGGGCGTGGTGCTGGGGTCGATCTCGGGCACCAGGTTGTGGTAGTTGGTGTCGTACCACTTGGTCATGTCGAGGGCCGTCACGTCGCCCACACCGCGGGCCATGGAGAAGAAGAGGTCCAGGCGGCTCATGGTGCCGACAAGCGGCTGGAAGCGGGGCGCCAGGAGTCCGAAGCGGAGGGTCCAGTCGGCCATGGGGTCGTACATGGTGTGGTGGCCCACGCCGATGATGTCGATGCCCGCCTTGACCTGCTCATCCAGGTTGTTCTCGAAAATCTTGTCGGACGCAGCGACCTGCACACAAAAGGCATCACCAAACGGGACGGCAGGAATGTGTGTGAGCACCAGCAGGTAGTATGTTGCTGGTCTGACTGACCAGGTCGTCTTGTTTGATTTTCTTGCCCCAGTAGTCCTCGAGAGCCTTCTTCATCTCGCGGTTTGGCCCGATGCGGGGGTAGCCGATGGTCACCGTCTTGAGCGTCATCTTGGCAGACGAAGGGGCGAGTCAACAGACTGCACAGCGACAATCAAAATCCTTCACTAGCGTAATCGTGCGAGGATTGCTGTCTTTCTGCCCTCAGACAACCATGCAATGCACTTACTAAGGGATACGGTCAATTATTCTCAGGAACTTACAGGCCGGAGAAGTTGCGCGCTCTTCTTCGATCGGCCCGATCCCCGTCTCCCCGTCAAACCAATGACCATCCGGGCCACCCTGGCCATTCATGGGCCATTCCGGGTTAGAGCTGCCTGCACAAAACTCTTTACTTAGGCCGGGCGGCTCCCCCCACTACATTTTTTTCCCGCTCATCGCCAGCGCCAGCTCCAGCAGCGGCGTGACCGAGTACCGATACAGATTGAGCAGCGATTGTAGGTGCTGGCCTGCAGACTCTTCGTGTGATGTGATCTTGGATGCCGAGCTGATATGAACATTGCTGTTCGGCTTTGTCGATGTCCGGCAGATGGACACAGGGAAAACTCAGATCCATACGAATGCCTTGCCTCGACTAGTTGGTTCACTGATTCGATTCATCCATCTGTATGTCCTATCTGTACGCAGTACCCCTCTTGCACTGCTGCTATGCTACCTCTCATGACCCTCCCTCTTGCCCCGCGGCTGCTGTTCACAACCCCCCCACTCATCTCATGCAGACAGGCAGGCCATGGCCATGGCCATGCACGTGTTTGTTGCCGCGACGTGTGAACGTGACTCACAGGTGAAAAAGGCACTGTTGAATGGCGTTCATGGCTAGCCTTCATGGCACTCACCCACCCACCCACACACCCTCCGTGCCTTTCTCTCTCTCGTCCTTGGACCCGCTCAGCAGCAAGATTCAACATAACAACGCAGGCACGCAGCAGAGAGGAAGGAAAGCAGCCAGGAACACACGACACTTGGCGACACAGTAAGACAGGCAGGCAAGCAGGAATCAGTCCTTTAGGAGGCAAGAAAGAAAGACTTCCGACCCTTCCAGACAGACAGATAGACAGCCAGAGCACGAAGCAGTTCTTTCCAACTATCTCCACATCCGCGCCCCCCCTCTCTCTCTTCCTCGTCCATCCACTCACTGAGACCACGCAACGCCACGCACGCAGACAGAGAGACAGCAGCAGCAGCGCAGCCCTTTTTTCCTTTCCGACTTTGAAAGCTCGCTCCTCAGCACCTGCCTAATAGCATGGACTCGCCCACCCTTCCTGTCCGCCCTCCAGTGTGTGCCGTGCCGTGCCTGCCTTGTGAATGCACGCAGGGAGAATAGAGCTTCCTCCCTCTCCCCCTGTCCGTAGGAATTAATTGCCTCTGGTAAGTCGAGAGTCAGTCAAGTGAGTCAGAGTCGAGTGGAGCAGTGAGCGAGCAGTAGTGAGCGAGCAGTGATTGTATCTTACTTGTTCATCCCTTCCTTCGATCGGTGAGTCAGCCACTCAAGTCAGTCGGGCGACACCGATTGGGCTGGAAAAACACCGATTCGTCAAAACGGCACCGCACCGCACGGACGGCCGACGTGTGATGCTTGGGGCAGATACACCAAGATACACACGGTGTACACGTGGGTAGTGTACTTGTTTGTTGTATGCACATAACCATATACCATCCATCCTTCAACGTAGCGCACACTTGTGGCTAGCCCACACACTGCCTCCGATCCGATCTTTGCCTTTCTTTCTCCCACACGATCGATCGATCGATCGAGCCATGTTCGTATGCAGGCACAGATCGATGAGCATGACAGCCACACATCGATCTTATCTCCGTATGCATGTGTGTACATGTGTGTGTGTGTCTGCAGGTTTGCACGCATGCCATGAATGATAGTTGTACGAACTAGGGGAAGAACTGATCACGCACACAAGCCAAGCACACCACGAAGGCCCGCCAGCCCGGAGACAATTTCCAACACCGTCGACTGGCGGGCGACAAAAACGACCAAACGACGCATCGCACGTGAGTGAACGAGTGACAAGGAATCAAGCAATCAAGCAATCAATCAATCAAAGACGGACAGAAACCATGACAAGCATGAATGACACATTTGATGGACGGACGCACTTGACTCGCTCAGGTGGGTATGCAAGCAGGGAGGCGGCAGATCCAGGCAGATAGAGAGATAGAATAGATAGATAGATGGATAGATAGGGAAGGTTATATGACTGACTGACTGACTGAGCGATTGCTGCTATGCATGATGGGCTGGCTGAAATGGACAACCGTTACTTTGTGGCTGCATCGATCGTACATACGTACAGACATAGACATAGACATACTTGCAGGCACACACACATACAGATAGAGGTATTATCATACACACACTTGCAGACGGTTTCTTGTCTCCTCTTTCTTCCTTCTTTCTTGGCAAAGAAATCGGCGGAACCCACCGCAATGAATGGGCCGCGGACACACATACACACACGCACGCACGCAGGGATGCATTCAGTCAGTCAGACCCACACACATACATACGAACATAGTCTGGCTTCACATCCACTCGACTCGCACACTTGATTCATTGATTCGATCCATCCATACATACAGGGGGAGGGGGAGAGGAGCGGCGAAAGCATGAACGTCCTGCTTCCTCTTTCCAACCCACCCTCTTTCCATCCATCGACAGACGCATCAACACTCATCCACGGCATGAAGAAGCACGGCACGTTATAAATCCACGCGCACTTGGCCACGGACGCAAACCAAACCAACCAACCCACACACCACACGCACTCATTCATCGCATGCATGGAATGGATGGCCTGCAGGCATTCCATTCTCCTCTCGTCGATCCGTCGTAAATGGTCCGGCCCGCGTGCATGGCACGTGCAGCGGTCGGTATGCGCAGCGTGAGTGACAAAAATACGTACGCACATCCCATAGTTATGTACGGACCTATGCATACATATCCTTAGAAACCGCATCCCATCCCCGGCTGGCTGCCTGTCTGCCTGCCCGCCCGCCCGCCCACCCAACTGCCGCCGCGCCGATGTCTGTGTCTGGCGGCTGTCAGCCAACCAACCAAGCGAGCGAGCGAGCGACCGAGCGAGCGAGAGCGAGGAGGAAAAGGGGAAAAGGGCGAGGCATGTGTAGTCTGTTCTCTTGTTCGGTCGGGATGGGGATGTGGGGAAAAGAGGGGAGGAGGGTGAGTGGGGGAAGGGGTGTCGGCATGACCCATAAGCGCACACACGCACACGCACACGCAGACACGCAGACACACAATACACCAATGCGTACATCATATAATATAAATACTACATACACCAACACGACACACAGCTCCCCACCTCCCTCTCCCTCACTGCCTGCCTGCCTGCCTGGCTTTCCGCCTTATACAAAACGGCAGTGATGACATCCGCCTGCCTGTCTCGCTCCTCGTCTCTCTCGTCCATCTGTCCATCCGTCGCTCACTCGAGCCGGTATACTTACAGCCATGTGCCCAGGCAGACCCCATCAGTCAGTCAAGTTCGGTGGGCAGGGGGTCGGGCAGGGCAGGCGAGAGCAGACAGAGCCGAGCAAGGCGGGGCAGCCACACCAGACACCAGACACAATGCAGTCAGCTGATTTATATAAACACCAACACACACACACACCAGCCCCCACCCACACCGCCCGCAGCACACAGCATACCACAGCAGCGCCACACACACACACAAGCTCCTGTCCTACTACTTACCGACCGACTCGTTCTGGTGGTACGGACACACTATGCACAGCAGAAACAGACAGCGATACACACATAGGCAGGTAGATAGACAGGCAGAGAGACAAACCAACCAACCAACCAACCAAGCAAACAAGGAAGCTACCAACCAGGGGACCGAAAGAGAAACCGAGAGAGAGAGAGAGAGAGAGAGAGAAACGGCGATAGACCGACCACCCTTCGTGTGTGGTGCACACCTCTCCGTGGACCCTCTCTTGGGCAACAAAGCAGAGAAAAAATAAGTGAAGGGGAGTGGCCGGCGCTTACGCTGAAGGAAGGAGCCAGAAAAGGGCGGCCGGTCGCGCAGTAGATGTCTGTGATGGATAGATATGGTTGTGCGTATGTATGTGTGTAGTGTAGAAGGTAGTGTAGAAGGAGGGAAGAAAGGACGGCTGTGTGTGTATTATGTATACATATGTGCAGGCAGGGGCAGGGGAGGGGCAAAAAATGCTCCCCTGCAGAGACAAGACAAAGACGGGGAGGAAGAGGGAATGCATACCGCATCGGGGGGAGAGAACGGGGGTGCCTCAGAGAGGAGGAGGGAGGGAGGGGGGGAGGGTGCAAAAGATAAACAGAGCCGCCTGCCTGCCTTGTTCGGCTTGTCACCGTGGTCTGCTCTTTGAGTTCAGAAAAATATCATCACATCAAGTCACATGACATCACACATGAGCGGGTGGGTGGGCGGGCAGACGAGAAGATGCATACATGCATTTATAGGTACTTGTGGATGGATCACAGCGCAACGAGCGCACATCGGCCCGGTCTCTCTCTCTCTCTCTCCCCTTCTCGGACGCAAGCACTCATCTGCGCTCAGCAGAGAGGCAGCAGGAAGGACGGCGTGAGGTGTGGCAGTGCGTGCGCGTGTCAGTAAGTGTTTCGGCGGCCTTTTGGACCATCTCTCTGTCTGTCTGGGTGAACGGGATGACGGCGGCCGCCTTGCTGCGCTGCATTCAATGCAAAACAGTAATAATAATATCACTCACACTACAGTACACCGCGGTACATTACTTACATTACATCAACAGTCAGTCCCTCCCCTGCCGTGCCGTGCCGTGCCACTGGCCGATTGGCTGTCTGACTGTCTTTCCATCTCTCTCTCAACCCACCCACACGAACCCTTGCACCTCACGCACCTCACTGTCGAGGCGCGGGGAACTCCTCAATCAACCACCAAGGACACCAAAAGGCGAGAAAACGCTCGCTCGTTCTTGTCTGTCTTTGTGTTCATTGTGCGGTTCCTTTCCCCTATGGGTGCACCGCGTGGGTTGGGGCAGGAAGCACATCTACATGAGCATGTGGGCTCATGATAGTGCTCCCGCCCCACACGCCATCGGCACACACACAGAGAGAAAAGGGGGACGTCGCACGCACATACTGACTGAATGAGTGGGTGTCGTCACGAACTCAACTTAACATCATCTCATCATCTCAGAAAATGCCGACCCACCCATCATCCCACTGTCCCGTCCCGTCCCATCCCATGGAGTGAGTGAGTAGTGAGTGGGCAAGTCAGTGAGAGTAGTGTGAACGACCGGTGTACGTCGAAAAACAACATCTAAGGCATAAATGGAGCAATGAGGGGCGGCGGGTGGGTGGGAGGGGGAGGGGGGAGGGGAGGGGAGGGGCCAGCCAGGCAGCCAGAGGGGAGGAAAGCGGGTGTACGCACAGCACAAAGCGAGCAAGCTACCGGCCGCCCGGCCGGAACGGTGAGTGACTGTCTGGATGGATGGGTGGATGAGCGAGCATGAGTGTGGTGGGTGTGATGGGTGATGGATGTGATGTCGTGTCTATGTCATATGTATACGTGTCATTGACTAAGATGGTGTGGACTGGCTGAGGGTCCCCGTCTTGAGCGCCTTGAGCAACGCACGCTGCCTCTTGGAGGGCCTGACAAACACAACAGACAGAGATGAAACCGAAACCACACACACACACACACACGATGAGCATTAGGCAGAGTGTCTCCTGGGCGGGCGCGTGTGTGTGTGTGTGTGAGGTGTGTACCGTGGCGGTTTTCTTCTGGGTGAGTGCGGGTAGTGGCAAAAGGCACAGTGAATGCCGTTTTGACACCCACCCTTCCGCTGGTTCGTCACAAAGACACACGGACGACACGCACCTGCACACAAACCAAACAACAAACAGCACAACGGTTGCAACACTCACCACACGATCCACTCCCTCCTCCGTCCCATCTCGTCTCGCTTTCCCCCCACCCACCCCACACACAAACCTTCGTTGTGGAACAGCGACCCGATTGAGAGAAGTTCGCCGTCCGGTCCCCTGGGGACGTCGTAGCCCTCTCCGTTGGGCATGGTGATGCGCAGCCCCGACGGGTTCCTCATGGGTGTGGTCCTCTCCTCAGCCAGCAGCACTGCCTGATTGCTCTCCAGCAGCGGCAAAGACGGCAGCGACATGGACACGGCCCGCGGAACCATCCCGGCGGGGGAAAAACCGGGCGGCGGGTCGACTGATGAACCGACAGGTGGAGCCACCTTCACACTGCTGAGACTGCTGAGGGTCGTCGGCTGCACGTAGGTCGTGTGCTGGTACTGCTGTTGCTGTTGCTGCTGCTGCTGCTGTCTGGCGGCCCCCCTGAGGTAGCTTGCGATGACGGCCTGGTACTGTGCAAGTTGTTGGGGTGAGATGGGCGGGGAGGGGACGTCGTCCAGGCGCAGCGTGAAGGCGCCCTGCGGAGGCTGCTGCTGCTGCTGCTGGGTAGTGTGGTGCTGCTGGCTTTGGTGGTGGGTACTGTGGTGCATGGAGGGGGTGGCGTGCACCACTTTCCCCTCAGGGTTGGTGCCATACTCCTGCTGCTGCTGCTGCTGCTGAAATGGGGAGTCGCCCTTGCGATGCAGAATGATCTCCACGTGTCGCGGCTGGGACGCGAACTGCTGAACGCTGCTACCGCTGCTGGTGCTGGTGGTGGTGGCTGTGGCGGTGTGGGTGTCGCGGAGGACTGGCGGGAAGGGTATGCCAGGGCGGGAAGTAGAGGAGTGGCTCGCGATGAGGGTCGGTGCGGAGGGGACGGATGGGACAGAGGTGCGTGTGGTGTGGGTGAGGGAGGGCGGGTCTCGCTGGGGGGGAGGAGGGGCGGGCGGCGGGAGCTCAGACAAGGACGATGAAGCACTCGACGTCGACGATATGAGCGACGTCGACGATGATATCACACTGCAACACAGCAGACGCACACACACAAAGGCATCAGGCCTTGTTCGTTCTCCTCTGCCCTGCCCTGCCCGTTTCCCAGTCCCTCCCGTGCCGTGCTGTGTTGACTGACTCACCTGCCGAAGCTTCCGATGCGGCTGCTGGTGACGGTGCTTCCGCCGTCCGAGTGGTGGGTGCCCCGCCTCTCGGCCGCTCGCGGCAGTCTCACGGGCACCTCTGCCTTGACATAGTCCTCATCGTCATACGCCGGCGGCCGGTCGGTGTCGACAACCGGCGGGGAGACGGTCTTGTTAAACGGCTGCCTTCGAAACGTCGCGGAGAACGAGTCCTCGGGCGGGAAAGCGAAGAGGCTGCTCGCCTCCAGCGGGGTGCGCTGATCCGCAGCTGATGTCGCCATTGTCATAGTGGCCGTCGTCTCTGCGCTGCGGTCGCTACGAGACAGGCATCTGGGTCACGCCAGGCAGCGCAGGGAGCGGGCGGAGAGGCTGGGCGCAGTGAAGGGGATACAGAGCTCTCGTGTGTCGTTGGTTGCGATGGCGTTGAGGCTCTGGTGACCACGTTGGGCGGCTTCGCTTCTCTCACCGGGAGGGCGGCAGACTGACAGGTTCACTAGATAGATCTGACCACACAAACTACAAAAGCAAAGCACTACAACCCGAGCCTTCGACCCGTGAAGGCCGAAGACGTCTGGTCTGTGAACGGCTGGCAAAATACAGAGCACTGCACAAGCTCGCACACAAGAACGATGAGGTTGCTGGGTGTAATTGTCACCGTCGCCCTGCTGGCGGTGACTCCAGTGGCGCAGAAAGACAAATGGAACAAAAGAACACCGATGCCGATGCCCACGAGGTGGGCACACAAAGCAAAGGCAGCACACAGATCCGAGCATCCAAAGAGCGTATGATGAATGCGACCGACGTGATGTCTGTCTGCAGCGACTTCACCTGCACGACGGTTGACCAGTCCATTCTGTGTGTGGGCGGCTGCGTGGAGGGCCAGGTCTGCCCCGACCGTGAAGACCTCTACTGCTTCTGCCCCAACGTCACTCGAGAAGTGCACGCCTACACACCCGGTGAGCAACCAATGCATGACCGACGAAAAACTATGCCACTCGCCCATCCATCGAGATGCTGTCGTGCGTGCGTCAGATCTGGACAGCTGGGGCGCCCTGCCGTCTGCCCCCCGACCACGCTATCGCCACGCAGCGGCGGCACTGGGCGGGCAGCTTTATCTCATTGGCGGGCGGAGTACCACAGACGAGCTCATTGCAGAGGTGGACGTGTACGACACATCCACTGGCACTTGGTAGGCTGCCACATCGATGGATGCGCCGGCCGGCCTCTGTCCGTGCTCATATGATATCTGCTGCAATTTTCTCTCCCCGTTTCAGGGAGACTCTATCGTCGCCCCACGACATGCCGATCCCCTCCAGCGACTTGGCGGCCTTCCTACTCGACTCGGCCATCCATGTGGTGGGCGGCTACGATAGGCACTACTCCACCCTCAACGCACACCAGATCTTCCACACGGGCAACCGTTCGTGGACCAAGGGGCCGCCGATGGGCAGTGCGAGGGGCGACTTCACGGCAGTGACCATCGGCGGGAAGGGCTATGTGTTTGGAGGGTTTGCAAGCGACTTCTGCCACCCCCTGGACTCGCTGGAGGTGTTTGATCCGCCGCCCGACAACGACTGGCGAGAGCTCAAGGCCATGGACACGCCACGAGCCGACAAAGCGTACGCACACAGACAAATACATGCATGAATGAAATGCAGCTCAGGAACCGAACCCACAATTGTCCATATTCTTTTTCTTGTGTGTGTGTGTGTTTGTGTGTTTGTGTGTTGGTTGGTTGCAGTGGTGTGGCGCTGAATGGTCATTTCATGGTGATCGGTGGGGAACAGAAGCACTCCGACCCCTCCAAGTGCGAGAAGCTGTCCGTCCCTGTCAACGACGTGGAGAGCTATTCGCCGAAGGACGACGAGTGGACCCAGATGCGGCCCATCCCCTCTGAGCGCATGCGGTTCGCCGGTGCGGCCTACGGCGACAGTGTGTACATCTTCGGCGGCCAGGGGCGGCTCGACAGCAACGAGAAGCCCCCCACACACCCCATCTACGACACAGTGGAGGTCGGTCAGCAGACAAGAAGAACACAGTACTGTATGATCGACCCGTGTATTTCGCTCTCCGTCCCGCTGCGCCAATGATTGTGTGTATGCACAGGAGTACCGGTTGTGTGACGACGGTCTGCAGAATGGCAACGAGCTGGGAGTGGACTGCGGAGGGTCGTGCCAGCCGTGCACCGATGAGGATCAGAGGACGGGCGTGGTGGGCGGAGATGATGAGGTCTATGAGGTGGCCTTTGGCGGGACGCAGAGGGAGTCAGAGGAGTCGACCAGTGGTGAGTCGATACCTGTTGGTGCGGGTGGGGTGCGGCTGGCGGTGGCTCTCGGCCTCATCGCTGTTGCTTTCATCGATCGGATGTGATTATTGCTTTTCCCGGCCGCCTGACTGGCTGCATGTGTGACTGTGCGGTGCAAGGTTGTTTTCCTTTCTGATTCATTGCGTGAGTGTACAGTGCTTTATGCACCAGCCATGTTAGGAGCTGTAAGGATGTACGGTGGGTGAGAATGGGTGAGAGTGGGTGTGTAGAGCCGAGCTGATCAGCTACTTTGTCTGTCTGTCTGTCTGCACCCGCAGAGATTCGGTGTCTTGCAGCTGTGTTATGTGCTGCATTTAAGGCCGTTGTTGGGCCCACCCATGCTTCTTTTATGACGTACTGGTGCGGGCGTATTTCTCGAGGTCCTTTCCTGAGAATCTCGAGAGTCTCGACGAGACAAACCCTGCAAACCCTGAAAAAAAAGGGGAAAAAGCTAGAACTCCCACGTTCCCCGTTCTTCCCTCGGCGAGGGCAAGATTGCTGAGCGTGAGGGTGAGGGTGCGGCCGCTCCCGATGGTGGCTGAGGAGAAGGCCGAGGAGGACTGACAGGGAAACCAGCAAGACGGGGCGCGCCAACAAGAAGTGCGCAAGAAGTGCAAGAACAAGGTCAGCTCCGAAGAGCCCACCAACGGCGGTGGTCCCCCCGCACCCGCCCCTGCCCAAGACGACGCCTCGCCTGCTCCCTCACCCCCACCTGCCCTCGAGGCCGAGGCCGAGCCGTCCGCCGAAGAGGCCAAGCCGCCAGTGGACGTGCCGACGCCCAACACGGCTTGAGCATGCCGCCTCGTCTGAGGTCTCTCCCGCGACAGTGGTGGCAGAGGCCAAGGGTGGCAGAGGCCAAGGCTGAGGAGAAGCCCGCGCCGTCTGATGACGGGTGGGTTGAGGTGACCCGGGGCAAGAAGGGCAAGAAGGCCGCCAGCACCAAGGACAAGAAGTCATGCCACGAGGGCCATCCACGCTCACCGTATACGGAGTGCTTCAGTGGGCGCTCAAGAAGTCAAAGGCGCGAATCGTGAAGAGCACCGAGCCGGACAAGCGAGCAAGAAGAAGAGCACCGAGGACCAGATCTACGAGAACACATGAGGTGAGCGGAAGACAGAGAGCAGGCGACTTGATGGTTCGTGGACGCACGCTTGCCTGTGTGGATACAGATTGAGTCCCTACGAGCGGGGTGGCAGGGGCAGGGAGAGGGCGAGGGGAAGGGCTGGCGGCAAGTACACCCCAAAGGTGGGTGACAAGCTTGGAATATTGGAAAAAATACGTCACTGCGCCAAAATCAATTACTCACAGCGGGTGAATCTGGCCGGTCATCTTGTTCATTCAGCGCTACCCATTCGACCGGATCGAATCCTTCGACCGCGACGGACACTGGAGGCGCTACGACAGAGACAGGGAGAGGGCCAGGTTGGCAAATCGTGAAGGCCACCACGCGAATTTGCTTTCATCTCTATGTGGTATGCCTAGATTTCACGGTGGACTTTGACCGGACGACTCACCTGGCAGAAGAAGGTACAGAGAATTGAGACACCCTTGAATCAAGCCAAACACACAACGGGTGCGCTGTGCCGCGTTGTGCTCTGTTCTTCTGCAGAGCTGACGACTGGGGGACAGAAGGGGTGCTGGAGATACAAAAACACGTAAGAGATGGCCGGTATGGGAAAAGGCATCAGCATGGATGGGGCCATCGCAGTGTCCGTGTGCCTCAGTGAGTGCTCACGAAGTCGAAGCCGCAAATGGGCAACACGTTTCCCATCTCCTCTCCATCGCCGCGCCAGTACGGTGTTCACGACACATCGAATAAATGAATGTCGACACTCTCACTTTCTCTGTCGTCCCAGGCGCAACCGATCTTCGACTCCCTATGAACGCCAGACGGGGCAGCACCGTCGCCGCCACGTGCATACGAGGTGAGGGCCACAAGGACGAATCACGCATTCGACACTTTCTTCTCTCTGTACCTCAGAAGACGTCGCGCATCGCCAACACCGTACCACCGCCAGGGCCGTCGAGATAGCCCGCCACGGGCACGCCGCCATCGGCAGCACGACAGCCGTCACGAATGGGACGATTCATTGAGATCCATTTTCACTTCTCAGGCGCCATCACACGCCGCCCAGACGACGCAGCCCCCAGCGGCACCGCGGCCACAGTGCAGCTGGCCAAGGACACCGTGACGGGATGGCACGCCGAGGGAGGGGTGCTGGCGAGCTTCGACGAGGTTCGAGAGGAGAAATTCGAGGTCGTCGACTGTCGCAACACGGAAGGGTGGCTGGCGGTATCGAGCCCTTCCATCTGCGCGGAGCAAGATCCGCAGTGTCGAGGGGCTGAACACGGCGGTTCTGAGGAGGACTCAAAAGAAGGAAAGAATAGAGACACAGCTTGAACCTTACGTGAAGACATCCATTGCTTTGGTTATGTGTACGTGTCATGTGTCCTCAGATCGCCGCCTGCATTTTACATTTGTGGGTATCAGATTCTTTCCTGGAGGGCCTGTGTCAACAACTGGGCGAGGGTCATCGACCTGGGAAGCAAAGCACCAATGAATGCATCGATGCGACCAGGCACCTCCCCTGGCCGTCACTGCAGAATTCGGTTCACTCACACCAACTGCAGATGTGTGTGCGGGCGGATGTGTGCGGGCGGATGTGTGGGGGGGGAGAGAGGGGGGGCGGGCGGACCAAGCCGTGCGGACCCTAAAGTGTATATATCTCTGTCGATCGGATAAAATAAATAACCTCCCTTCAATTCATGACGTCTAACAGCCAGCACAGCCACACAGAGTCTCAGCCACCACACTCACGCAGCGCAGAGAGATAAGAGAGGCAGGCAGTCCTCGTCTGTCTGGCCTGCGTCATCGATGGTGAAAACGCGCCACATATGAATGCGTGTCACACCTCCGTGCATGCATTCATACGACGAATGCCTCCCGGCACGACCTCTTACAGACAGAGACACACCAACCAGCACAGCAGTGCCTCCCCCTCAGTCCACACAAGCAAATCCACCGCCGTGACTGCCGGGAAAGCATCACTTCTTTCTGCCCTTCTTGCCCCTGCACACACATGGACACAATGATGCAGTGAATACGAGGGCTACGTGGTGGTGCCCGCCTGCTGCTCACTTGTGCCTCTGTGCCGTATGCTCCTGAGCCACCTCCGTCCGCGCAGTTGACGGCCCTGTCCATGCAGCGAACCACAGCACAGAGAGAGGAGGGTTGCAGCCACCAAGCCAGTCGATTGGATGGCGTGCATACCTGCTGGTTTGGCGAGGTTTGCGTCAGTGGGCATGGCTCCCTGCGGCCCTCGGCTGATCTGGTCCTTGCGGCGCCGATACAACTTCTTGAAAGCAGACCTGCACACACACAACACAATACACGTGATCGTGCCGGCTGATTGCCCCCCCTCCCCCTGCCCCCTTTCCCCCCTCCCCCTCTCACCTTTCGTGCTTCGGCAGCCATCGCTCCGGATCGGGCGGAGGGCCTGATAGTAGAGGAAACGACAGGAGAGTGGCTGGCCTGGGTCTGTGCTGGCAGGGCGGGTGCACACACCAGGGTTCTCAGGGTCGAAGTTCTTGGGGTATCTGATTTTCCTCTTCCGCTTCTTGACGGCCTTCCTCTTCGCCGCCGCTGCAGACGTGGTGCCATCAGTCGCCGACGCAGACGCCTCGGCATCACTGAGGGAGAAGAGGAGAAGACACAAACAAAGGAACGGACACCAACGTGATATCTCCTCTCCTTCGCTGTGCACCCTCCCGTTTTCAGTGTCCTTACGCAGCAGCAGCAGCAGCCGCGGCCGTAGATTCGGCCTTCTTGCCCCTGTAGGTCTTGGGCAAGGCCGCAAACTCCAGCTCCTCAGGATCTGACGTGACCAACACACACACACACACAGCCATCGCCTAGGTGCCGTGATGATGTATGTCGTGTGTGCGTACCGAATCGCTGCACTGATGCGGGCAGGGGGAGTCGGTCCGCGTATGTCTCGGCCAGGTCGTCGTCATGGTAGCTGGCGGCAGCAACCAGGCCACAGGCCGCCTTTCGGTCAGTGCCGTCGATCTGCAATTGGTTTGCAGCCAAAGAAGTCGGATTAATGAACTGGCTGCGCGTCGGTTTATGTGTGTCTGTGTACCTTTTCGAGTATCATCTTGAAGTGGCGCGTAGCGTCCTCCCAACGACGGAGCTTCACACACAACTCTGCGGACGACAAGGGAGGCACATCCAGTGCGTCTGGTCTTCATGACGCGTCTTGCCTACCTCCTGATGTGTGGAGGATCTTCTCGAGGGTCGACTCGGCCTCCTCGGCCTGTGCAGACCACACACGAGCTCATGGATGGATGGATGGATGGATCGATGGATCGATGGATGAGCAAGTTTGCCTGTGTGCCCTGCTTGGCTTACGCTTTTGTCGGCCCAGTACTGGATGGCGCCTTCGAGCATCTGGGCGGCGCCCTCGATGTCCTTGGCACGCTGGTACAGACTCACGGCCACAGACAGGAAACCTGACACGAGATAGATGACGCACACATCCATCCATCTATCCATCCATCCACTGCACATCGATCGGAGGGCTTGGCGAGTGAGTGAGTGAGTGAGTGAGTTTGCCCGCACCTGGTTGCCAGAGTGACTCCTCGGGTAGCTGCCTCATGGCTTGGACGGCCTCGCTGAAGTGGTTCTGGCTCATCTTGAACTCTACCAACGCCAACTGATAAATAGAACAACACAACCACATGCATACCACGATGGTCCGGGTCTGTGTGTGTGTGTGTGTGTGTCGCTGGGTAAGTGCTTCGGGTCGACATACGTGCGTACCACAAGCTCTTTGGTTTTCTCCCTGGGTGCCGCCTCGAGTGCCGTGCGGAGAATCTCCTCAGCCTTGGACGTCTTCTTGTCAACATACTGATCGACAGACATACAACATATGGAACGGGTAGACGGGTGTTGGACGGGTGTTGGACGGGTGTTGGACGAGTTAGTTCGGTGAGTACGCGCCTGCAGGTACGCGTTGATGATGGCGAATCTGGGGTGTGTCGAGAACTTAGGCTGGACGGCCTGCAACGCGCGGCGACACTCCTCCATCTGCATGAGACAAAAGCAACACCACACAGTGCACGGCCTCTCTCTCTCTGTGTGTCCCACCCCACTCGTGCTGTGCGCACCTTGCCGGCCTGCAGCAGCACGAGGCATTTGTTGAGCGCGATAGCGGCTGCCTGTTTGGTGGTGAGTTTGTGCTCGAGGGACTCCTTGGAGGCCACATTGATGCGCTTCAGCGAGTCGAACAGAGACTTGCCCTCTGGCCTGAAGCGACACACACATGTATCAGACAGAGGGTGACAGGAGTGGGTGGTGGACAGGCGGATCGTTTCGGTCTGTTTGTTACTTGAGTGCGACGAGGTTGTTTTGTGCGACGGCGAGTACGGTGACGTCAATCTCGTGGTCCTCGTCCTCACGGTGCTGCCTCAACACACTGTTGTAGATCTGAGCCGCACCATCAAGGTCACCTACACACACAAACAGTAGAGACAGACAAGGAGAGGATCCTGTAGTGTAGGCGGCTGGATGAAGGCGGGTCGGGTGCGTACCTTTCCTCTGCTGGATGAACGCGCTCTGGACCTTGATGGATGCCAGCTCTTTGTAAGGAACGAAAAGGATCGATAGACACACGGAACTGATCTGTTTGCCCCCCTCCCTCGTGTGTGTGTGTGCGTGTGTGCGTGTGTGCGTGTGTGCGTGTGTGTGTGTGTCTGTGTGTGTGTGACCAGGATGGTTGTCGAGTTCCTCCCCCTCTGCCTGCACGTCCTCGTCCGACTCCAACTCACGACGACACAACTCTGATTGATGCACATAACATAGGCAGGCAGATCCGATGCTGCCGTCCAACGGATCACTGACCGGGTGTTGCCTCAGTCACTGAACTGACCTTGTGCTGTCTTGAGGATGTCTTGTGCCCCCGTGAGGTCACCCTTCTCGATGAGCGTGCACGCCATGTTGAAGGCCACCTCATAAGAATCGTTCATGTGACCCTGATGGACGGATGGATGACATACACACAGACAGACAGACAGACGCAGTCATGACGGAAGCAATGAATGTGACACCGATGTCATCGGCTGACCTCGGCCCTGTCGACGGCTTGTGCGGTCTGTTCGCCGAGGTTGCCGGAGATGCAGGCGGCCAGGAGATTGACAATCAGCATCTTCTGCACACACAGGGAGAGAGAGCACGAGCACCACTGGATGCGTGCCATCAGGGTCTTCCTTGTGTGGTGGGTGTGTCTTACGTCTTGTGCGTTGTCCTCATCTTCGAGCAGCCCTTCATAGATGTCCCGACACTTGCCGTAGTCGCCCATACGGTACCGCTGACACACACACACACACACACACACACACACCAACCGCACCAGGTGCAGATATCCCATCCCGCACACCACACCACTCTCTCTCCCTCTTCTTTTATTCACCACTTGCGCCTCCAGCTTGGCGAAGCACTGCTCGGGGTCGTCCTCCCCTCCGTCAAAGTCGCCTGCATTGGTGACTTTCTGGATGACCTGCAGCGCCTCGTTGAAGCGGTTGAGTCTGTAGAGGCAGTAGGCCTTCTCGAACTCGAGGTCGGTCTTCTTGAGGTCGAACTTCTTGCTCTTCCGCGCCTTGTCGATGAGGTCCAGCACGGCCGTCCAGCGGGACAGCTGCAGCAGACAGAAGGCCTTGCAGCGCAAGGCATCCACATCCTCGCTGCTCAGGTCCAGAACTGCACACGCACACACACACACACGGCAAGGGGAGGGAGTCGATATGGAGATTGTTATTGATTGCGATTATGTGTTTTGGGCAGATCTGATCACCTTGGTTACACTTGGCGAGCGCTTCTTCGAATTCCTCCCTCTCAAAGTGGTGGTCGATTGCATTGAATATCTCCCCGGGATCAGCCACGTCACCCATCTCGTCGCACGCACCGCACACACAGCACCACTGCAGGCAGCAATGTGGTCGAGATCTTGGCAGATGTGGTCAGCCGAATGGCCCTAGCACCCCTGCTTCCTCTCCTCGGCCGTCCTCTCCGGCAGCAGCGGTCCTCTCCCAGCGGTCACTCCCATCTGCGAGCTTTGAGTGCTACTAAGCTCGGGGGGCGCAAGATCTGGTGGGAGCTCTTGCGGTGGAGATGAGCGCCGAGGCCGATGAGCCAACATCGGCCTCTGAGGCATCCTCTGCGTCCTACCTGCGCCTCCCGTCGTCAGCGCTGCACACGTGCAGTCTGCGGCCGCCCGCCTGCACCACTCTGGTGTTTGGATCTGCCTTCATCCTGCTCTTCACTCATCTGATCTGCGCTCCCTTTGCCATCCACCAAGGCGTCATGAAATTCCCTCTGTAAGCCACGACATGCAGAGGCTGCAGCGAGTGCTGTCTGTCATCATGCTCACGCTCACAGGTGTTTGCTGACTGTTCAGGTTTCACCCCTCGATGGCCTTCACGGCGCCGCCAGAACAGTATATCGCCACAGCCCTTCTTCCCCTGGGCGGCCTGCTATGGCTGGTCTTCTCCCTCCGTCTCACGCGCAGCATTTCCCCCTACCTCACCTCTTGCGTGGTCCGCTCCCTCATCAACAACCAGTGCAGCCTTCTCCTCTCCATCGCGGCATTCGTCTCGCTCTGCGGCGTCGGCACGCTGCCCGTCCTCCGATACAAAGAGACGCACGACTGGTTCGCCATCGTGTGGTTCGGGGCGCAGGCCACGCAGGCGGTGCTGTATGCGTTTGTCCTTGACGGTCCGATGGGGTGTGTGGTGCCGCTGAGGAGCGGTGTGAGGAAGGTGATTGCCGTGGGGATGCTCGTGTCCGGGCTGGCCGTGATGGTTGGGCTGTACCTTTGCGGACACCACGACCTGCACGAATGGTTCGCCGCCATCGCGTAAGTGAAGCGGGTTGGGAGTGCGATGTCGGCTGGGTTTGTTTCACATGGCTGTCTGTGTTTGTGGTGGTGTGTGTGGGTGTGTCAGGACGAGTGAGTGGGTGTTCGTTGCGCTGGTGTTTGCTTTCATCCTCACCTGTGTGCCCTACGCCCAGTTTGTGGACACGAACCGCACCAGCTACTTCTTCCTCCCCGCGCCCCCAATGTGAGAGAGACGACACCCACACACGCAACAGAGGCACACGGACACACCACACTCGCCAAAGCACTCACTGCTGGTGGGTCTGTCTTGACTGACTGGTGCGTGTGTTGGGTGTGTGTTCAGGGTCAAGGATTCGTCGAGCAGTGTGTCTACCGGTCTGACGAGCCGGCTGACGACGGTCAGCGAGAGCTGTGGCGCCAACGACGGCATGGAAGAGGAGCAAGAGGCAATATGACGACTGACTGAATGAGCACAGTACCCTCTGGCTGTGTTGACGATGGGAGATTCAGTCATGTGTCGTGCGGTACGCGAGCCCTCGACCATATTCGTGGATCTCTTATGCCGCAAGTGCTGTTGGTGAATCGCCCACCGTGACCGGCCCAAAGAGAGTGTCCGCCAATGCATGCATGTATGTCTGTCCTCCCATTTGTCCATAAGGTGACTTTGTGTAAATAGACAGACAGACAGACAGGAGGGCGTTTTGACGAGTGTCCTGATGAGACGACAGACAGACACCCACAGAGGTTTCTCGCCTTCTCGTGACAGCTTTTCATTGACGCGGGTAGATGCGGTCACTTGGAGTTGGGTGTCGGAAGTGATCCGTGATGGCTCCATAGCCGGCGCCACTGGACGACATCCGATACTCCTCCCCTAGTGGCCGCAGTCCTGCGACAACACGTGCATACGTACATGAGATTTGTGCATTCGTTCGGCCCACATACGACCCACTGGTAGATTGGATTCCCCTGCCAGCTACCCTCACTGCTGACCGAGCGAGTCTCGTTGGATGCGTTGGTGCGTGATTCAGTCAGACTTGTCCGGGCGGCCGTGAGGGCAGCTCGTTGGGGTTTGAGCCATGCGGCTGATCTGAACACGTGGTGTCACTGTGTCTCCACGAGAATGCTTGACGAACGGACTGGTGGACAGTACATATACACACACGAATATGTTGCGTCCAGTCCACATCGAACGAACAAGGTCCCCCCCCCCTCACCCATCCAAAACACAAGGTGCCTCCCTCTCCTGCATTGCAATGCATTCATCAAACTGTCAGTCAGGGCAAGGCAATGCATTCATTGAGCCACGTATATCATCTTTCTGTCTACACCAGACGCCACGCAAACAACACCTCAGAGAGACAGCACACAGCGAAGAGGCACTTTGGCGCGGGCAAACCCACGGACGAGACATACAGCAGACAGATACATCGCCACCTACATCACACAAACACACACACAGACAAAGAGAGAGGCGGACAGACATTCACGTAAGTAATACGCCGGCCTGTAGGCACTCTGCAAACGACAAACCGCCATCCATCCATCCATCCATTGATTGTCCACTATGGTACGCAGCACCGGCAGACACACTGGCGTGGGCACACCCACGGGCGGAGCAAACATTCCCAGCTGACTGACACCCATCGCACAGCGTGCCTACATGGACAAGCAAACTGACGTACACATCTGTCTGTCTGTCTGTATGTATTCTGTCTGTCTGTCTGTATGTATTGTGTATGTATGTCTGTGTGTGTGTAATGCTCTCAAATGTGTCTGTGTGTGTGCGAACAGTGCGCCTGCAACGACCAAAAGCGCGGGACATGCAGGCGCACGGAGTTTGCCATCCATCCATCCACTTGCAGACTGTTCACGCCATGCAATTCATCCCATATATCTCGACTCGTCAGACGGCATGGCATCATGGTGTTCCGCGCCGATATTTGTGTTGTGCTGTGGAAGGAAGGGTACATGTGCGCCATATATGCACACGTCACACACATGTAGGCGCACCGATGCGTTTGTGTGTGAGTGCCCAGCTGAGCTGGCCAGTACTTACAGGCAGGTACAGCTCAGATATGAATGAGGTGTGCGGCGGCACAACAACTGCCGATAGAGCAGCGGCTGATGGACAGTTGTGGTGTCCGCCGGACGGACGCTGGAAAAACGCGGCCAACGACGGAAAGCGGCGGCGGAAGAACAGTGCTCCTGCGCAGCAGCCAGGAAGCTGTGCATCGTGTCGCGTCAGCAAGCAGTATGAGGGAGGGGTCGACTCCAAATGAGAGAAGACAGTGTGTGCTCCTGGTGCGCATGTGTGTCTTGGCGGTCGGGTGTGGTGTGAAGCGGGCCGCACCCAAAAGCGCCAAAGCAGGAGAGGAGAAGTGAGTGAGCCTGTGGGTGCAGTAAGGTAGGTAAGCCTATACATCCATACAAACAGCACATGGTGAGTGGAGTGAGTAAGTCGAATGAGCGTGGACCAAAAATACAATAAAGACGCAGTCAGTCAGTGATAGTAAGTCGACACGGATGCACACAGGCATGGCGTTACGCTCACGCCTCTCGACGCATCTCACGCATCCATCCATTCATCCATCCGCACAGAAAGGCCAGTTTGGAAGAGAGCAAAGAGACCATAAGGCACCCACCCATACACACCCACGCCCCTGGCACCACCCATTTATCCATCCGTCCACCACCAACACTGAGCCGTCCAGGTCGTACACATCGATGCTATTCGCTCGCACACTTGCCGCACGCCACAGTGACTGACGCTCTCTGCCTGCCAGCTGCGGAGCGACTGGATGCTGCGCCGGTCGGGCTGGGTGTCTTGAAGGTGGCACTTGTCGGTGGAGTAGAGGGAGGCCCACGGCCGCCTTTAGGCGGATGGTTGGTGAGTCTGTGAGGGGGGCGGCACAGCTGACAGATAGACGGGCAGGAAGCTGACAGACAGACGGGCAGGAGAAGCCGGGAACACCCGTGCAGCGACGATAAATCTAGACAGAAAGAAGCGACCAAGGACAAAGCGTCATATGTGCACGACTAGCTCTCCGGTTGTCGTTCGTTCTCACCTCCCAGAAGGCGATCGACACGTCACGCAGCGCCCCCCCCAGCAACGCATCCTCCTCCCCCTTCATCCCCGCCAGCTGCCGCATCGCCCGCTCGAAGGGCGTGTCCCATTCAGCAACACCGTGAAGACGTCGGCGAACTGCCACTCCTCGTCAGTCAGTCAGGTCCTCCCCCTACACATACTCGTGGCACATCAATGGATGAGTGGGAGTGGCGAGTGGGCAGACGGGGGCGTGTGGGTACCTTACCTTGGTGGGTTTGATGGCGGTCTTCTCGCCTGAGCCATCCGTGATGGACGGGATACGGCCAAAGCGGCCTTCCCCCGCCCATCGTGGACGGGATACGGCCAAAGCGGCCTTCCCCCGCCCATCGTGGCTTGGCTCGGACGACTGACTGACTGCCATGGCCCACCTGCCAAGGCACACACACACGACACACACGTAAGCCCACCGGTGGGCATTGCCTGATGCCTCCAGTGCTCCCTCACGTACCTTCTGAGGGACGAACGAAGGGCAGGCAGCATCAGAGGCTGCCGATGGGGTGCAGCGGGGGCCAGTGGCGCAGAGGGGTGGATCGGATCATGGGAGGGGGGAAGCCTGACGGCGGGAGTGCCGCGCCAGGGGGCGCAGTCGCACCTGATGGCGACTTGGGGGCGCCGAAGGCCTGTCGACCGGGGGTGCTGATATCGCTATGAGGCTGGAGCTGGGGCGCTCTGCCTGCGGGCCTCCACAAGCAGCGACCTGAAAGAGACAGACACATCCATGGCGTGGTGAGGGGGTGGGCGTGTTGGCAAACTGCGGGCTGCTCACCGGTGGATGGACGGGGGCTTCGAGGGAGACGTGTTTGGCGACTGGTTGGTTATCGACAGTCGCGTCACGTGGGGCCCCCCCGCCAAGGCTTTCAGACCACCCACGAAGGGGCGGCTTACTTACCTGCACACAAAGGAGACAGAAAAAGATTCCTAAAGGTCGGCCGATGTCCCTCTCTGTCTGTCTGTCTGCCTGTCTATCGGTGTTGCATGTATCCGTGTCAGGGTATTGGTGTATGCTTAGGTACTTACCCAGACGAGAAGGGCCCTAAGCTGACGGCCTGTGGTGGCCGCAGAAGGCACCATGGCGCGATGGCCATGAACATTGGCTGCAAGTGGTCTCGCGTATGGCTGCACACACACACACACATGCCACCACACGTGAAGGATGTATGTGCTCTTCCTGCCTCAGTTCGTCGCGTACCATGGACTAACAGGCATCGACCCTGTGTGACGGTGAGGGTAGAGGGAGGAGAGGTAGGAAGTGGAGTAGAGGAAGGCCTTAAGTAGAGGGAGGAAGAGACAACTCAGGAAGAGGTACTCGCTCTCACTCTCTCACACAGATGCGGTACGGTGCACGTAGCGGCCGCCATCATGCAATGCACGTGGGTGGATGGATGGATGGATGCGTTAAAAATACACACACACACACACACACACGCATAATATGAGAAAACATCAGGATGCACATGACAGAAAGAAGGAGGCAGAGAGTAAGCGAAGCGAGCAATGAGAAAAAATACCACCAGCCAACTTGGATGAGGCGGCCCATCCATCTGTCTATCGACCTATCTAAGGTAACTTCTCTTGCCCTCCTGCCCCTCTGCCTTTGTTGTTGTTGTCGTTGTCATTGTGAGGGCGGTGGTGCGGGTGGTACGCGGCCCACTGCGGCCGACAGCAGCGCCCAGGCCTTCATGCCCACATCCTGCGATGCTGACCGCACCTCCCACGCACCCGTGCTTCGCCACCACCACTCGGCCTCGCCGGTGAATGGGTTGTGCCACCAGCCACGACTGACTGGCTTTGACACCCGCACAACCTTGGCGAAGGTCGGGTAGTACGGCACCTGGTGGGCGGGCATGTTGGTGCCGTTCATGACGGGGATGCTGCACTGGTGCCGTCGAGGTGGGGGAGGTGGTGGGGGCTCTCGGTGGTGGTCATGGCCGGACGGTGCTGCTGGTTGGGGTGGCGTGGGGGTGTCTCGTGCTCGGCGGGCGGCGTGGAGAGCCTTGATGTGTGGCAGGAGGACGGCACGGGCCCCTGTG